AAAGGGTTGGATGATTAGTATGTGGATGGGGGGGGAGTGTGCGGAGGTAGTGGCTTGGGGATGAGTGGGTATCGACATTAGAAAATGGTGGTGGTGGTGAAGGTGAGTAGGGATGGATATAAAGATAAAGTGGTGATGTAATGGAGGGTTGATGATTGATGATTGATATTAGGAGGAAGTTGGTATGGGAGAAGAGAAAAGACATTTAGATTATGGAGATGGTGGTTCGATAGATAGATTGATAGAGTGCTTGGAAGATATGGCTGTGCTGTGTCATACCAGAACGATTCTCAAACAGTATTTCGTTCATGCTGAAGATATCTTCTAGCGTGGCATACCTCGAGCTTTTACGAGATCGAGAATAACGGCCTTATGATCAAGTCTTCCGCCAAACTATCTTCTGAGTAATCGATTATTGCAAAGTCATTCAATGCTTCTGTTTGACGCATCTACTAATCAATAAAATTCAAAACTTCTTGGGATATTCCGGAGACCTGTATACATAGTTCCAATCACCCAGATATGCATATCCGGATAACCGTAAGTGGAATATCTACAAGAGCAATCGAAATCCCTATATTTACTTACCTTCCCAACATTCACGTTGCTGTGTAAGGCAGAATTTGACAACAGTAATGATGACAAACAACAAAGGTATTGTGGTAGCTAGTCAAGCTGGGCTAAACTTGGAAGGTTTGAATTTCTTATTACCTGGCATTCGGGATTTGCCAAAAATTGAGAAGATTCATAGACCATGTTGCAGAAAAGAGAAGGAAGAAGAGATGCGAGCAAGCTCTTGAAGGAATATTGTGAATAAGACTTTGAAGAAGGAAACGTCCTCGTGCTAGGTTTTCACGAGCAGGCACGGGATGATACTTCATGGCCCATAAAGTCTCCTGAATCGTCACTCATTGCAATTCTTGAAGTTGTACAATTTGTTCTTCAGGCCATCGTGTCTTTCTTCCCAAGCCAAATAGAAGAATTAAATTTTTGCTTCATGTACTTGTGAAAACTCGAGGCGTGAACATTGGCGTTTGATCAATTCTTGGAATTTATCAGAACGACGATTGTGGACCGATAATTCGTGCGGACATATTTTTACAATTCTTCTCGAGAGCCTGGAGGTATTAATACAATTCAAAAAGAATAAGTAATTCAGAGACGAGAGTGAGAGAGACATTGGTGATCATGAATATCCTGTTTGATGACATCCATTGGGCGATCATAAGAATTCCAGCAATACACATGCATGACTTGGCTCGTTGTCTAGAAGGAGATCTATATCATCAGCAATTCCGTAAGGAAAGAAAGATAACATGTCACACATCAGGAACTCGAATGGGTTTGTATCAGCGTATCGGACTGTTTGTCAAAAGAGTTATCATGTTCCATAACCAATTTCGCGATTGAACGCGTGTTGTCGTCGCCAAGATCTAGAAGCTTGCCCATAACAAATACTCGCTAACTAATCACACACTCAGGGCACTATTTAGTAAGAAAACGAGCCGCATTTGAAAGCTAATCTCACACCTACAAAAAAATAATCTACTACCGACAAAAAGCTCCCGCGAAAGATAGATTGACGTCAAAGCTATTGATCGGTAGCTCGAGGGTAGGTAATGTTTCACATGTTGGCAAAGTATATTGTGCAAAATTTGTACTAAAGTGGCGATCTGATCTATCTCTCGAATGTTCCTTGGACATACAGCGATGACCTCGGAAGTTTGATGTGGAACGATGTTAGAGCGAAGCTTTCATCAGATAACCGCCTCGATCATTTATTCCAGTATCGTATCCAACAATTTTCATCCAAGCTCAAACCTTCTTAAGCTCTTTACGAACTATAAACACAGTTGAGTGCTATTCTGTGCGAGGGAGAGAACAATTCAAATTCGAACGTCCGGTGAAACAGCAGCCGCATCTCCCGCTGATATGCTCTGGTACTTTCTGTTCCAAGAACCACCCAATCCTTGATCACCATCTCACATCTGTACTGGGTAATGAGACTATTTACACAATCTCTCATTTCTAAATAGAAATATATCTTTCGATAAGTTTCAGTGACGGTGAGATTATGACATGCAGATATATGGGGAGATTCCTTCCAGTGAAGGTATGCTATCGAAAGAAGTTAATACTTTTGGCTATACTCAAAACGGGATCGCGAAATATACTTGGGATGCAGAATCTTGAGTATTTTAGCAGAATTTCTACTTTCGATTTTTCAATTCGCACAAGACTTCTGCGTGGAATTTCACAATTTTGACAGCTTCAAGTAAAGGTTAGAATGGTTTGAATTTCTGACTTATCCGCGATTTTGATCTCAACAAAACCTCTACCCACTCGACATAATTGATCGCAAGCAGGCCACAGATTTTACATTGAGGATTGACAAGGTTTCTCTATTTAAGTACCTAGCTACTTCCAAACTCTCCGATTTCCAGCCCATTTATCCTGTCAAATCCACTTAGCACTTGCTCTATCCTTCTTGTTTCTCGCCCTTCGTTTCGATCGTGGTTTTCAACAAGTATCCGCCAATCTTTCACGGAGCAGCGAAAATATATGATAATGGAGAAGGCATCGGAACTAACCAATGGGGATAATGTGAACCAAGGAATCTCTGAATTATCATCTCCAACGCTACCGACTCCCATACCGCTTTCTCCAGAAGAATATCGAAGATTGATCTGGAAAATTGATCGTCATGTTTTGCCAGCTTTGTTTGTTCTTTGGATAGTCGCCGTCGTTGACCGAGGCAACATCGGAAGCGCAAACATCTTTGGCATTCAGGAGGATCTTCGTATGCAAGGGAACGATTTCAACATGGCTCTCCTCATCGTCGTCATTTGTTTTATTGTCTTCGACATTCCGTGCAATGCACTACTAAAAGCTAGCACACCACAAATCGTTATTACTGGCGAAACCTTCCTTCTAGGTTGCAGTCTCTTTCCAATCATTCCTCAGCATAACTAACATCATATAGGAATCGTAGCTGTTGGAGAGGGACTTGTCACAAATCTTGCAGGGTTCTATGCCATGCGTTTTTTTGTGGGGTTATTCGAAACGGGACTCATACCAGGTATTTTTGACAGCCATTGGTCTAGCAAAAACACTAACACAATTATAGGAAGTGTCTTTATCCTGAGTCAATATTATCCTCGGTATGAAATGCAGTGGAGATTGAGTATGTTGATGGTTGGCAATGCCCTTGGAACCGCATTTGCTGGACTACTTGCATTTGCTATTGCTGGTATCAATACTTCCAATGGGTATAATGGCTGGAGATGGATCTTCATCATCGAAGGGTGTATCACTGTTGTGGTGGCAGTTGTTGCCTACCCATTCATGCCAAAGTGGCCGCATCAGGCAAAATGGATGTCCGATGATGAGAAGACTTTCCTTGCTGATGCAATCAAGCAAGGAGGGGTTGTTGAACCGAAGGGCAAGAAGTTGGATATACACAGACTCATTGGAGTTTTAAAAGACTGGAAGATATATGTAGCGTAAAAATTCCACCCAACTTCCCAGTCAGTTCTAAACTAATCAATCTTAGTGGCATACTTCTCGCATTCACAATTATGACGTCTGCTAGCGTCGGGATATTTACGCCAACTATCGTTTCTGGTATTTCTGCTCATCAGGATCCTCGCCATGTACAGGTTCTCTGTATTCCGGTTTTTGTTGCAGCGGCAGTATCTTCATTCGTAGCTTCATTCTTATCAGATTATTTCAAACATCGTACAGGATTCGCTCTTTTTGGATACGTTATGATCATAGCTGGTGCTATAATCTTACTTAATGAAGATCATGTCAATGCGCATACCAGATATGGAGCGGTCTATCTCCTGGCTTGTGGAATCTACATTGCTGTACCAATAATATGGACAATTCTACCAAACAACGTTGCTGGAACGTACAAGACGGGAATTGCGATAGCAATTCAGGTCAGCATTGGAAATTTGGGGGGTATCGCTTCAACTCTTTGTTTTGCAAGTACTATGGCACCATCTTTCGTCTTGGGGTACACTACCATTGTGTGGATGACTTGCTGTGCTGCGGTTCTCTTAATTATTTATGCATTCTTTTTGTGGTTAGAGAACAGGGCTAGAGCAGCTGGCAAAAGGGATTATTTGTTGGAGAGAGAGGATGTCGACACGCTCGGGGACATGCACCCTTCTTTCAGATATACTTATTGATTACTTAATTTGTGTAGGGTAATCATCGCTACTGAAGTATCAGGTGATATTCTAAAATTTGTATGGTGGAAGGGTTTTGTAGAGTCGAAGTCTTTGAGAAAGTCTACGGGTCGCGAGCATTTATGGACGGATTTGTTCGTTTAACAGGGAGGGAGCTTCAAAACATCATTTTTTCCACCTCCAGGCAGTACAGGGTGGTATTGAAGGACAATCTTTTAGTCAGATACTTTTTTTTCGAGCTCGATACATTGATCTTCTATGTCGCACATAGGTCCCACCTAACTTCGGAAGTTGCTAGACTATTGAGCTTTACGGTTTCGTATTTAATCCCGAGGTTACTCGACATACTAAATGCAATGTAACCGTCGGAACTATTTTCAGATCTCATTCGTTCTTCCTTGTCTACTGTCACAACGATTTGAAACATATCTTTTAGCATTCTATCTCTACGATTCTGTGTTGCAGTGGGGTTTTTAGTGTGAGTTTGTGTCCAATGCTATATAATACCATTCAGCTACCATCACTTTCGGATACCATGAAATCATCTTTAATCATTGTCTGATTTACCGAATCTGCGGAGCACTTACTCTAGTACGCGAGTATGATTTATATCCAATAGTCGGTGTCTAGTTTGCCTACTTCTTTCAAGCACGTCACCATCTTAACTCACCGTCTTATCGGCGTTCCAGCCCCGGATACTAAATATTATAACTTCCCAATCTCATCTTCTCTTCCTTTTTAATTTCATTATTCGTATCCGAAATCAAAATCTCATCTCCAACTGCAATTTCTATATCGACGATCATGACGAGCTCTACCACGGTTCCGCCCGCCCTCGAACCAGGCGAGCCCCTTCAAATCGCTATAATCGGAGCCGGACTAACAGGCCTCACCCTCGCACTTTCTATTTCTGCCCTCCCACTCCACCAGCGTTCTCACCTCCACTACACCATCTATGAATCTCATCAGCACTATTCCGAAATCGGCGCCGGTATTGGATTTGGCGCTAGCGGCCACCGAATTATGAAACTCCTCCATCCTGAACTCTGGGAAAATTACAAAGCGATTGCGAATTGGGGCGAAGATGACGTGTGGTGGGATTTTGTAGTCGGTGACAAAGTCGGAAATTCACAAGGAATAGCTGATGAGAAATGGGAAGGAAAACGAATCGCACAGGTGCGGATGAAAGAGGGGAGAGAGGGTCAAAGTACCGCGCATCGAAGATCTTTGATGGATATTCTGATCAAACTTCTTCCTTCGTTGTGCGATGTTCGGTTTGGGAAGCGTTTGACGGGGATTGTGTCTTCAGCTTCTGATTCGAATCATCCGGATTCTAAAGTAACCCTTCAATTTCAAGACGGCACAACCTCAACCGCTGACCTAGTAATCGGCGCCGATGGCGTCAAATCGCTCTGTCGAGATATAGTACTCACACCGGCTTGCAATGCAGAAGCGCTCAAAGCGCGTTTTACGGGGAAAATAGCATATAGAGGATTAATACCGATGGAAGAAGCGAGAGCGAAGATAGGAGAAAAAGCGGGTCAGAGAATATTTTATTTGGGACATGGAGGACATGTGGTTTCGTTTCCGGTGGAGGGAGGGAAGAGTATGAATATTGTTGCGTTTGCGAATCGGGAGGCGGGCGTTTGGGAGGGAAGTTGGGTGAAGGAGAATGTGGGGGAAGAGCTTGAGAGAGATTATCTGGATGGGAGGTGGGGGAATGACGTGGAGGGGATTATGAGGGTAAGTGGATCGTGTTTGGAGTTCTTGAGTTTGTTTGTTGCACTTTGCTCTACTTTTTTTTCTTATATTGAGTGTGTGGATTCGACATGTAGTTGTTCAATTTGTTCGGCTACATTCGATTCTTCAAAGGATCTCGATCCCTTTTTGTATCTCTGGATGGGATATTCTCTCCACCTCTACCCCATCTCATACATTTCGAACTCTATCTTTTTTCCCAATTCATAGAACCTCGTTTTCCCAATTTCGTTTCCGTTTGCCCCTCAAATGTATTTTCTGTTGAAAAAAAAATAACTAACATTCTAATCACAGCTCATCAAATCTCCCTCCTACTGGGCAACATTCTACCACCCCCCCGCTCCGGCCTTCCACCATCCAACCCTACCTATCCTTCTCATCGGCGATGCTGCTCACACCACTGCTCCCCATTTTGGACAGGGCGCTGGGCTCGGTAGCAAGTTTCTTTCGCTTCTCCCAGCTACTACTCTTCTCTTCCTTTACTCCCTCTCCACGCTAGTCTATCCTCCACATTCAATCCCTCCAGAAACACCTCATTATCCTTCCTACCCCACACAGAACATACTAACCCCACACTCTACCTAGTCGAAGACGTATACATCCTCACAAAACTTCTCTCGCACCTCCCCACCACCTCTCACTCTTCAGCCGGCAACTCAAATGTCCGCGCCCTCTTCACAGCCTACACACAAATCCGACAACCGCGCGCTACAACCGCTGTATCTACTGCTAACTATTATGGTCGGATGCTTGATATGGAAGATCCGGTTATAGCTGATGATCTTTCGCTGATAGGGGAGAAAGTGAGGGGAATCGCGGAGACGATCTGGGGATATGATGAGATTGGGGAGGGTGAAAGGGGAGTAGAGATTATGAGGGGGGTTTTGGCGGAAAACAAGATGGGAGACGGGAGGATGAGGAGTTATGTTGAGGAAGTGCGGTAGCTTGAAGCAGAGAGGTTCGAGTTTGTTGCTGTTTCATCTGATTACCTATGAAATATATAGGAAAGAGCAATCAGAACATATATTGGAAGATTATGGATACAATATGGATAGAATCACCCGAGTTTAATTTATTTGCACTTTATTGGGTCTTTTTTCGACTACTAATAAGCTTAGACATTGAAAATTGCTAACTAGTAGGTTTTTTGATACTTAGGCAAGAAAATCCAGATAATAGGTTTCGAAATGAGCGAAGTAAAAGAGAGAATTTCCTAGCAATCATTTCTGCATTCGCTTGACAAGCTCAAATCATAAAGATAGAAATCATAAAAGCAACAAACAAGGAAATAAGAAACAAAAACTCGATAGCTCCAATTCAAGTGAGTGTAATTGGCTTCTGCACCCCTGGTGAATTCCTCCCTTTGGCTCTTGAATACTAGCCCACCAATTTCTTTCTTAAAAATCTGCCAATTCATTCTGAACTATCAACAACCCTCGCGCGTTTATTGATTCTCATTGAAAGAGCTTAGGAGGGAGGAAGTAAAGTCGTCATCGTATTCTTAGACGTCACAGTAGTGACTGCATACTTGCCAGTGATGCCTTCCCATTTGCCTTTGACGTAGACTTCATAATTTGATGCTGTGGTAAGATCATCAAGGTAGTATTCGAGGTAACCGGTGCACTCCATAGCCAGTTTCCACTGTTGATCATGTAGATTAGTAAAAAGATGACAAAGGGCATGGAATCACATACCTCCCAAGGATCCGCGTTAGCTCTTGCATCGTCCCGGGTCTCATCAGTTCTTCTGAACTCAAAGGTACTTTGCTGGTCTTTGCCTGAGCAATCTTCCAGGTTAAAATGTCAGTATCAGGTTTTTACAGATGTGTTTGTGAACAATGATATCCCAGATGTGGGAAGTGCGTAGATACTTAGACATAATGGTAAACATTGGACATCAAAATTAGAAAGCATGCAACAAATGAACTCGATGTACTCACAAACTCTGTCTGATCGTTTGAAGGCAGGCTTCCGAGCTGCTGTATAGGGGCTTGAGTCGTAACTCCCCCCATCCCCTTGATTGCAGATGAAAATCTAGTGCACGTAGACAAAGTGGCGTGCATAAGTTACTTACCATAGATTGTATATTCGTTTTGAAATCTCAATCTCGGAACAACCTTAACTTTGGCTGTATATGGCAACGAAGTTCTTTGATCGAAAACCATCTGATGGACACAATTTACGCGATTGGCAGGGAGTGTAAGCTGTGCAAATGTAATGGAGGTATAAGTAGTGAATGCTAAGTGGGTCGATGTACTGGAAAATTTTCCATTGAAGTTTGCCTTCAAATTGGCCTCCCAGGTGCCCTTTACTCCATATTTGTCGCCCACTGTTTTGAAACACTAGAAACTAATCGCTTTGAAAGTTGAGGGCATTGTGATTTTTATATTCTTGGTATTTTTTTCTATCCTCGATCGACCCAACTAGGAAAGTCTTGAGAGTTACGAAAAAATGAGTTCTCAACACCAGGATTTCTAAAATTTGACGAAAAGTTTCGACACGATTTCACTCGGGGCGATCCGGCATAGGTTAGTGATAACAGTAGTGCTGATCACACCATTTTATACTCTCAGGTGCATGAGTGAAGTTATGCAAGGACAGAAACTGAACAACGAACATACCTTCAACTCCAGCGTTTACACCCCAACTTTGACTGTCTGTGGCAGTACTTGACATACTGCTGCTTGCGACGACTGTGACAAATAGACTACGAGAGGTTGGCTTGCTATTCCTTCCAAAGCTTTGAGGATTAGGAATTACGGAGTGGATCGAGCCGGATATTCGGTTGTGTCCAGCTATACCATTCAAGTAAGCAGATATTAAAAAGGTAAAGGAGAAAGTGGGTTGTATCTTCAATGGTTTAAGGTCAGTAATATTTGGTCTGCCCCAAATGATATCCGAGACCCAATCGCATTAATACACACCCAGCTGTGCATTCACAATAGGTAGTGCTCCAATTACCTCAACAACCCAATCGAAGAACTCAAGATTTGTGCAATGGGTTCCCTTTGTCCAATTCAATGAAACCTGTAAAGCTCGGAAGTAAAACTTACATCATAACCAGTGCCAGGTGTATTGTTCAAGCGCAATGTCCGAGAATTCTGCTGATTTGGTTTGGTAGGATCTGTAACAGATATACCCATATCTTGGCGTTTTATCCCATCAAGCTTGCCGGCATAAATGTACGACATTCCCAAGTCTCCAGCAATTTCAGAGCAATCGCTTTGAATATTATTGATGACCTTAGAGACATGGTAAGCATTCTTCGGAAATGTGATCGGGCCGGTAAAGGTAAAAAAGAGAGAAGGTTCAATACGTGTTCTTGAATAGCTTTTGTGGCAGCCAGATTACCATACAGACCATCGACATTATATGAATTGTTGCGCTGTACCACTCCAACGAGAGCAGGATAGGTTTTTGACATCCATTCCGTCCATTTCTAATGTAAAGTTAGCTTGACATGTTTCCGCAAAGAGGAACGTGGGTATAATACCAAAAGAGCCAACGACTCTTCGCCTTTCTTCTTACTCGAGGGAAAGAGAATTGGAAGATTGGGCTAAACTTTTCGAAGATGCGGATCCAAGGTTTACATTCAAGGGAGGGAAGCAGCCTGCTAGCTCTGACCTTTGAATTCTGGAAGCTGTTTGGGATGGATATTCTACGACTCAATAGTTTAAGCACCTGACCAAGGATCAATCCGCCTTGACATATACCTTGTACTTGGTCCCGTATCCACTACAAATCATCAACAGCTTGAGCATTCGACAGAGATCGTGAACCTTTCCCTAGAATGTTAGTTAGCTGAGGTGATTGATTGATCGATTGATTATATTTAACGTCCATGTGAAGAAGGGATCTGCATCGAGATCGGCGTGTGGACCAGTATGCCTTGATCCTTGAGGCCTATTAGATTATGAATCTCATCGGTCTGACTGGAACGCATTCAGGGTACTAGCAAAGGTAGTAGTTCAATTGGATTACTTCTTAATAGTTTTATAATAATTAGAAGTATTCAAGCTTCTTTATTATGCAATTATATATCGAATGATTAATATACATTATATACTGTAATTGAATAATTAGATTCGAGATAATAGTAGTATATGTACTAATATAATACACGTGCAATGTAGGTAGGTAGGCTCGGTAGGCAGATAGGTTATGACGTAATCAAAAATTCCCAACTAAGTTCCACCATGATGCGATCCGACCCCGCATTCTTACCAACCAGAACAGCAACATCAAACGGCTATATCAACTCGGGGTAATAGCTAATAGCTAACATCTACCTCAACATCCAAATACCAAAACATCAATTCTCTCCCGTCCTTCACAAAAATAACACTCAAACCATCGACTCCTTTCAACCACCAAAAAAATGTCACCCTCTACCCCGCGCATTCTCCTCCTCGGCGGCCACGGCAAAGTTTCTCTCCTGCTCACCCCCAAAATCCTCTCTCGATCTTGGAACCTCATCTCCATGATCCGCAACCCCGATCACAAACCCGACATTCTAGCTGCCGCATCCCGGGCCCCGAAAAACAGCGCCGGAAACCTCGAGGTGCTCATATCCAGCGTCGAAGATGTAAAGAGCGAGAGTGACGCGAAGAGTATTTTGGAACAAGTAAAAGCGGATTGGGTTATATGGTGTGCTGGTATGATTTTTTCCATTTCACCATTCTTATTCTCGAAAAGGGAGGATCAGAAGTTGGGATTTCGGCACAAGAGATCAAATACTGACCAAAGCTATTACGACTAAACAGGAGCCGGAGGCAAAGGCCCCAAAGACCGCACCTACGCCGTCGATCAAAACGCTTGTATCCATTTCATCCGGGCCTCTCTCTCGACCCCCTCCGTCAGCAAATTTCTCCTCGTCTCAGCGCTCATATGCCGCCGCTCGCGGGCTCCATGGTGGAGCGAAGAAGATTGGGCATATGTGCAGAAAGTCAACAACGAAGTTCTTCCCGATTATTACAAAGCGAAATTAGCGGCAGATCAAGCATTAGTAGTGTTGGGGGAGGAGAGGAAAGATTGGACGTGGATTAACTTGAGGCCGGGGACGTTGAGTGATGAGGAGGAGACGGGGAGGGTGAGTTTGGGGAAGACGAGGGGACAGGGAAAGGTTACGAGAGGGGATGTGGCGGAGGTGGCGGTGAGGTTGTTGGGGGAGGAGGGGGTGAGGAGTGGGTATTTTGATTTGTTGAATGGGGAGGGGGAGGTGGGGGAGGAGGTGGAGAGGTTGGTGAAGGAGGGGGTGGATTGTAGGGAGGGTGAAGAGTTTGACGATTTGAAGGGAAGTGAATTTTTGAAGCTATGAATAACTAAGTTTAGTCTTATGGAGTGATTGGGCAATAGTCACTATCTCATCCTTGGAAAGAAGCCTTTCACGTGAACTAAATGGCCTGATCGAAAAAGTATGATGAGAAAAGTATCTGTGAATTTGAAGTAAAAATCGATCAATTCCATCATTTCTACCCCTCCACGCGCCCATAGACTTCACCAACTAAGATTCCATGTCCCCGCTCCCCTTCGTTGAACCTCTCAATGAATACCAACTAATATAAGGCTATTGAGTTCGGACGGTATCCAGCCATGCGGTATGAGAAAATATACCAAGAATATCATTTGAATTCGACGACACACTTTTTTACTATCACAGTTTTCTGGAAATGAGCATTATATTGATTTGAAAGTGCATAAGTAAATCTCGGATTGTATATAAAGCTACTATAGCTACGTACGCAGCTACTTTTGTTCTCGTTATCTTATTAAAGAGAAAACTCTATCTTAACTCACAAGCAATAGACATCCAATAGTCTAGCACCTTTAGTATTTTTCTCCCCCAGAAGGAAAACATCTACTACGCCCTAGCAAACAGTAGGCAAAATGGTATCATATAATGAAGAAATCAAATCAAAGACACCCATTAGCCATAAGCTCACTTCCTTGCTTTTATAATCATCCTTATATCTTTCCCCCGAGATTCGCTCACCACCAAACCTCCTAATCCGCAATCCCCACCCCAAATTCCTCATACAATTCCCCAACCCTCACGCCCCTATTATCGGCAATCATACCCAGCAATCCTTGTCCCACATCCTTGATATCATTATAATCATGCAACAACTTGATATGTCTCTTGACCGTTTGCTTCGCCGGTTTCTCCAACCCTTCCGTGATTTCCTGTATTTTTTCGCGTTTTTGTGCAATCTCTGCTCTGAGATTCGCGTTACGTGTTTGGATTGATGTCTAGAGACGGGGTCAGTTGACGTATTGCAGAAAGAAGAAAATACGGGATGAAAGGGAGACTAAGACTGACAAGTTTCATCGCTTTGATCTCGGCTAAAAAAGCGTCTTGGCGTTGGGAGGAGGAAGTGTCTGACGATGTAGATATTTGACTTCCGGATACTTTGTTCTTAGTATCACCAGCGATAGATGTCTTATCACTGATAGTGGCATCTTGGTCTACAAGCTCTACAGCCTTTGCAGTCTGCTTCCCCTTATTCTTGAGTAAGCTTGGTCTTCCCCTTTTCTTTTTCTCAATCACCGGCTCATCTTGTTCGTCAGATTCTTCCTCGTCAAGGCCCTCACTTTCAATACTACGAAGCTCGACTTTGTCGGTTATTTGTTGTTCTCCCTCTGCAATATCAGAATCGCTATTACTTATTCGCCTAGGTTTGGCTGCGGAGGGTCGACCTCGTTTCTTCTTCTCTGATGCAGGAGGCTTTTCCTCAATCTGTGCAACCACCTGGTTTATCCCACCACTCTTAGACCTACCTCTCAATACCCCTGTCAAATTTTCATCGCCAGATTTTGTGTCTTCACTACTGGCACCCAAGTCTTTAGTTCCAGATGGTCGACCTCTCTTCCTTGGTTCAGGCTTAACCTTTTTCGAAGGCGGCGAATCATCGAGTAGCGCGTCTCCTTCCTCATCTGAGTCGCAAATCTCGGTCAGAATATTCTTGCCACTACTAATAATATCATCCGACATATCCTTCACGATAGCATTCCCGTGGTTTAAGCTAGAAGTTTTGCGGGCAGGTCGACCTCTTTTTCTCTTCTCGGGTGAAGCGTTGACCGGTAGGCTAGCATCGGGTGCAGTTTCGTTGATATCGGCATCCACAACTTTGTCGGAAGTTTTTGTAGCAGCATTGCTGGAACTTGCTTCGGCAGTTCCAACGACATCCTTGTTCACGTTACTGACACCAGAAGATTTGTGATTGGAAGGTCTGCCTCTTTTTCTTTTTTCTGGCGAAGAACTGATCACAGCTGGTTGATCAATGCTTGCGGCTACGGTTTCTTGCGATGCAATGACAACCTGACTTGCTGATGGAGGTTCAACGGACCCATTGTTTGGAATAGTCACTGCGGAGACCTTACGACTATTTGGTCTGCCTCTCTTTTTCTTCTCGGGTGATGTATTGGCAAAACTTTGCGGCTCATCGACTGATTGCGTCCCAGATGCTGGCTCACGGATACTAGCATTATTAACAGCGTTCTTTGTGATATTGAGAGTCTCCTCTAAATTTTCGCCAACAGTTGTCTTTTCCGGACTTAGTCGAGATACCTTTCGACTAGCAGGTCTTCCCCTCTTTCTCTTCACTGGTGAGAAATCGAAATCTGCTAGTTCATCAGTGGAATGAACATCGGCTATAGACTCCTTAGCAATGCTCTCTAAGGTCTCTTCCGTTACAATAATTCTAGAGCTTTTGTTGACAGCTTCATTAACATATATCTTCTCGGAATTCAGTTCAGATGTCTTTCGATCAGGTCGACCTCGTTTTTTAGGTCGTACATACGAGCTTTCATCCGAATCATCATTTGCTTCCACGTTTGTAGTGGCTTTTACATCATCATCATTGTCAGGCAATGGTGAAGCCTCGTATGATAACTCATCAGCTTCTGTATGTTCTGCTTCAATCCCAGAAGATTTACGTCCTGCGGGCCTTCCTCTCTTTCTCTTAGCCGATGAATATGGGATGGCAATATGCTTTTCAGTAGATTTGTGACTAGGCGTAGCTTGTTCCGTTTCAATATCTCCGGGAATAATCACTGAAACGTTACTCGAACCACGTCTGGTAACTTCTTCAGTGTTGGTTTTCTCGGGACTCAAGCCCGAAAATTTTCTACTAGCTGGTCTTCCTCTCTTTCGCTTGACAGGTGAAGACGAATTCGCAGTTATTTCATCTGTCGATTCGCGACCGACATTCGAATGTATAGTATCCTCATCCATCAAAGTCTTCTCCCTCCTAAGATCTTCACCATCATTTGTAAGTGTAGATAACGTGGAAGTTTTTCTCTCGGATGGCCTTCCACGTTTACTCTTCTCGGGTGTAGGGCTACTTGAATATAAATTGTCTGCTGAGAGTTTTCTGGGAGATGAATGTGTCTCGGCTGATTTGTTGGCTCCATGGCTTTTTGGTGGATCCACCGCTCCTTTATCCTCTTCCATGGCAAGCTCATCAACAGATAACAAAGAGACCTTTCTACTAGATGGTCGTCCTCGTTTCCTCTTTTCAGGTGCGGGGCTATTTGGAGAGGAATCATCTGCTGTGGCATTTGTAGAAGCTATGTGCTTCATTGCGTCATCTAGTTTGTCGACATGCTCATCGAAAGATAATGCAGAAATCTTCCTAGTAGATGGTCTGCCTCGTTTCTTCCTCTCGGCCACGGGACTGCTTACACTCAAGTCTTCCTCGTCCTCCACACTCATCGGCTTATCTGGGCTAGCTTCGACAAGCATTGCTTTGCTCTCAATACCTTCTTCGTCAGCTTGACTGTTGGCCATTTTAGATCTTCTTATTCCTGGTGGTTGACCCCTTCTATTTGTTGGTTTTTGCGGTGATATCTGAGTGGTAGACAGCTGAATATCTATATCACCTTCGTCGGCTCTAGAATCCTCCTCCACTTTCCCGGAACAACCAATCGGCGCACGCTCAGCCGACTCTTCAATCTCTTCGAAATCATCTATTCCATTCTGTGAAGTTTCGGATTCGTTCATTTCTAGCTCTTTAAGAATTTTCTTTGGGTCGATTGAGCTTGTGGCACATTCTCTCCCAAACGAGCTCATAACGTCTTCGACCTCTGCATCCTCATTTTCTTCTCTAACCGCATCGACTCCTGTGTCCATTTCCACATTCTTTCCATATTTCACCGAGTTTTCGAATGTGTTTCTATTATGGCTGAGTTTTTGCGGAGATTGTTGACTTGATTCTGTGATCGCATCACTATCCGGAATTTCTACGTGTGTGGGCTGTACTGGAGCTTCCAATCTGGAAAGTGAAGGCAATTCAACATCATTCAAGCTGTCATCATCCACAGGTAGTTGACTAGGAATTATGGGATCTTGAATATGCGTGAGATTTGGCATATTGTCCATATTCGCGGCATTCATAATATTCTCATCTATTGACGGGACTCCTTCGGAAAAACTGTCTTGGGGTGCGGATTTAACAAGTGATTGTTCCAGAATAGATATTGAGCTTGGCTTCCCTTCAAGGTCCCTCAAATCTCCATTACTCAGGAACCCGCTGGTAATGATTTCGGTACCATGATGTTCGTTTCCAGAATTTGCGTCTTTGTCAACAATCATTTCAGTCTCAACAGTCGTTTCGGAACAAGTAGTGTTCGAAGTTGGAACATTGCCGCGAATCTCTCCGATTTGATTGTTCTCTTCATCGATAGGTGTATCAATTACTGACCCAGCTCTCATCTCGATGATAGCCTTTTCCGAGTTCAAGATGTCGTTGCCCCTCTCCGACGCAGTATTCTCGCTGCCTAATCCCGAATCCTTAATCTTATCATCTGACTTGTCGTAGATTTGTTCTTCAAAATACTTGTGTCCCCCGGAAGAATCAACATCCGCGATGAGACTAGAGTCGATTGCCATTTCAGTAGTTGATGTGATTGACTCTATAGTATTCTTACGACTTTTCTCGAGTAGAGCTGATTCATCAACTTTGACCAATTCTTGATCGCTAATCTCGGCTCCAGGGAAATCCGGAATGCTTTTATCACCAGCTAGATTCATCTCTTGGTCTTCTTGCTCATCTGCCGTATCATCGCGTTTCTCCGAAATCACCCCACCCTCTTTCTTGTACGGCTCAACGTCTTCAGCAACCATTCTTTGCTTTTGGGCCACGGGAGCGTTTTTGTTCAACTCTTCCTCCGTAGGTATATTTGAGGCTGCTGTAGCATCACGTCGAGAGCTCACATCGACATCTCCGCTCCCGGTTTTCGATCTGGATACAGCCTGGTCATCGCATTGTAGCAAAATCTCTTGGCGCGATCTTACATCAATATCATCGATGCCAGTTTTTGATACTGATCCGTTTTCCCCAACCACATCCTCATCATCAGCCGGCCCATCATACTGTGGTAAAACCATACTCTGTAATCCCCCCTGATCGAGCTCACCAGCCCTTCTCATGCGACGAGCATCTCCTGTCGTCTCCCTCATCTCTTCTCCATTCTGAACGCTCACTTGCGTCTGCATCGCACCATCCTCTTCATCCTCCAGCTCCATACTTTCGGCCTCCCTAAACCGCTGCCAATCCCACTGTTCAATAAAACCCATCCCCAAATCCGTCTCTGACATACTCCCATCCATTTTCTATCCCCCAATTTCTCTACCTCCAATCTTTCGCCTCCGCCCTTCCTTTTCGTCCCACGGTATACAATATCGTTTTCTTCACCATCAAACCTTGTTCCGTGGCGATGGTATTTTCAGACTTTGGATGGATCAACCTTCTTTCCTGAACATCATCGAAAAATTACAGAGGCAATTCTGAATCGAAAAATCAATTACGAAAATATGAAAATAAAAACGAACTCCGAAAAAGGTAAAAGTAAAAGTGAACTTTCTTTTCGAAAAGAACAAACGCGTCGATATCACCTGCGTCGCGCACGGACTTACAAGACACGAAGAAAGCAGGTTGATCACGTGCTGCCTCTAATTCTGCATTTGGTTCGAAGGGTCCAGATCGAATCCAGTGAATGCGGTTCAAATGTCAAAAGGGTTGAAAAAATGGAGCAGGTTCGGGGAACTTGTAGGGGCATCAGATAGGTCGAGAGAAAATCTGAGTGAACTACTAGTCGTTCACGGCTATATGTCAAAACAATTTTTGTGTGGAGAATCTTCGCAATTCATTAGAGCTATACTGTCGACTCTTTTATCAATGGTGCCAATATGGAGTAACAGGCTAGAATCTTGGTCTGGTGATTTGCCCCAATGAACATCTCATCTGCTGGACGAAGATAACCCAGTGCGCTCAAGAGTGAGATAATGTATCAATATAGTCGTTTGGATGGAGTTGCAGGTCCAATTTCACAGCTTGAGGATCATGTAAATCTGCGAGCCAGAACTTTAGTATGGAGAGGGAAAAGTCTCCATTCATGGCCATTAAACGACCAGTTTGCCCTATCTATCAAATCTCAGCAGCAGAAGGGATTCTCTTCCTGCTAGCAAATGCCCCATGGCATCTATTAAATAATGACCGGAGAAAACGAAGCCACAAGACTGAAGTCTTTAATCCTCCGAAATTCCGCATACACACATCCACCACCAAATGATTTAATAGAAACTCTCCACCATGGTATCCTTGTTCTTTCCAGCAATATCACTTGGGCCTTGTCCCTCACCCAGCCTGAATACACTCTCGACCACACTCAATTCCGTAGCCGTGGTATCCAACCCAGTGACGGCCATCCAATCGTTAACAACCATACCTGCACCAACTACACTGCTACCTCTGTTTACACTACCGGCAACCAATGGAACTTGTAATAACGAAGATAATTCATCTTGATCTTGAATGCTGGTTTTTGGATGGACGATACCACCTTGGTTGGAAAGTGCCATATAGGATCCGACAAGGACATTATCGGCAATGGTTTGACGGAAAACTTCAACACCGAGGACATCGGCAATAATTTCTTCGGTTTCGCGCTCAAGATCCGGATGGACAAGGGCGACATGATCGTTTGATACTATGACATTTCCAAGAGCTGAAAGTCTCTCTTCTATTCTCTGTTTGGTTGTTCGTTAGTATTTAGGGAATAAATCGGAGCCTTGAAGGAATGTAGCCAAGCTTATTTCACGTATCGCAAAGCTCAAAACTTGTCGCAAAGCCCTTCAAGCACCCGGAATAATAGAAAAATAACCCACCTGTATCTTAACGCTGTCCGGTAAACTATTTCTCAAATGTTGCAACTCTTGATCTGTCGTGCTCGTTGGTACCAAAAGTCCCTTCTTGTTACCTGCGGTCAAACGTCCAATAATACGAGTTCCTGCGATTGTAGCATGGCAAATTGGGATAACATCTTGGAGTTCTGCTTCGAATACACTTTTTGTTCGCCTCGTTAGTTTTTGCTCATCCACTAAGAGAAGACTGGGATGCGCCGGAATCAAAGTTACAAGCGCTTGAAGATATACATACCTGTAGAAATTCTCACTGGCACCAACAGCAACCAAGGCATATGAGTTTGTCAATGTAGAGAAGACACCGACTCTAAAAGATTCAATTTGTCAGCAACCTATCCAATATTCGAGATTCTTCGTGCTTGATATCCATTCTCTCTCCCTCCGCATATTGCCAGTTCAATCCCATCATTCCACCACCCATCACATCAATTGTGCCACCCGTGGTGGGGTACCCGTCCCTCACTCCAATCCATCGTATCATCCGCACTGAGGAGGGGTAAGGCAGGCAAAACTTACTCATTTGAATTCTCAAACTGCGCACGAACAGCCATATTTAAATTATTTGCGAAAATGTGATCTTGGATATCTGGTATTATTTCTGGTAGAATTTTCTAATCAAAAAAAGGGAAAGAATTGATTGATTGTTGTGGTTTGTAGATAATTATGAATTTGAATGAAGATTTTCGAAGTTCTCTGCAGTGGATTTATTAGGAAAATCAGCAAACCCTTCCTCGATAGCAATTACACGCTAGCAGGGATTTCATGTGGGATGACTCTTATAATTGCGCTAAAATCTACCAAATTTACTAAAAACAGTTAAAATGCTTTTCGACTCATTTTTGCTCAGAGTGAAGTACGAGTGAAGGATGAAGAGTGAGGGATGAAGAGTGAAGAGTGAAGAGTGGCAAATCTAATATTACAATTGTCATTATCCAGAATACCTTGTTACCTACTCACATAGTAGTACCTCGCATACAATCTAATTGAAGTCTAAGCATTACTTATATACGCAGATGGGCACTCCGTGATTGGTTGCATTCATTTGATGCAGTACTCGCGCTGAGTCACAGGGCTGTACCGTGGTGAGGCTCAAGTAATCTTACCTACCCACTACCCCTAAGCCTACCTATATTATCGCCATTGTATCACGTGGCATATTTCACTCCATGCTCGTCGTTGAAGGGTACCAGTGGCGCCGTGCTTTTGATCTAAAGCCTTAGAATTCGTCGCAACCATTAAAGTGGTGTTGGAAGATACCTACTTACAGCAGACTGACTTTGAATGGAAAAACACCATCGAGACGAACATCAAGTGATTTCGTTTGTGGTATTCGGGTAGGCTGGCTTGTCATGTTAACCATCGTGGTGTAATCGGAGTGAGGATCAATGATACTGGGTAAACTCCGATTCATACCCGTTTACCAGTCTCAAACTCAAGGTGCCTTTGAGATGAAGAGAACCTGATATCCTGATATGAGCTTCCGCGATTTCACTTGAAAGCGGTGGTATCATGAAGCCTCAAGGGAATCACACCACCGATATCGAGTAATCAAAATTCGGCCTTTCATTCATCGTTGGGTTTTGTGAAGAGAAGTATGATCCAAAAGTTTCACAGCTACTAGAAAGTATATGAAAGTCCACGAATTTCTGGAAGAGCTATTCCTATTCCTGCGAATTCACAAGTGTACGATTTGCATTTCTGACCCTTTCATAAAACTCAAGAAGATGCTCTCCATCCACCTGCTCATCTTCGTGCAACCACAACCCCAAGAGTAAAATAATCATCCAAGTCCATATTCTTCAATTTTGTTTGGATCCAGTTTGCTAATACGGCCGCCACCAACTGTCATTTGGCATGTAGCTCATAACCGGCTTGGGGACTCTGTTGCGTCCTTGAAATCCAAACTTGTATTTTTTGTTCTCCTCTTCAAAAGTCTCATACCCTGGTCCATCCATATTTTTCCATTGAAACCTCACATCCTTTCCAGTTTCCTCCTCTGCTTTCAACAAAGCAAGCCGTTCTCTTTCGTATCGTAACTTATCGCCGGAATAATAAGCTGCAAGATCGTAGTCAACGACGGGGATACTTCTTGCCCCCTCGAGTCCCGGACAGTTTTCTCCAAGACAATACCCTTTCCTGGTTGTTGCCTCCACCCGTTTCAAGAGGTGATAACAACAAACAAATGGGTCCGATTGTTGAGGCCTCCAATATCTACAGTGGTCTAGTTTTCTAACAATACAATATCCAGTATGTTGAGCATGTTCAGGACCAACCCTCATGGGGATCTCGGCATTCAATTGTGTGCAGGTCTCCCAAACTATCGTTCCGTCATTGCAATGTTCACCCGCAGGCGAAATTTCTGGGATCGGATAGAGAATCCGGACTGCTGGAAATGACCATTGTCTTTGATAACTTTCAGTTGTTTCCCAAAAGCAGGGCGCTCCGTGGTTATGGCGATGAGGGTTGGATACATAATTTTGATCATGCATATGTTGTCGATAGTCAATATAAGCCTTTACAAGAAAAATTAGCAAAAGATCTGACAAGTTGCTTGATGATAGATTGTTTACCATGATTGTGGATGCTATAACGAACAGTGGTATCGGCTCTGGTACTACCCTGGGTACGAAAGCAATAAGGATTGAATTGACAGTAAGTGAATATTCGAATTAATAAATGCAAATCGATCAGTCGCCAAAGGTCCCATTTTCCTTGAGGAAGTCTTTAGAAGTAACAGATATTTATCCACGGAAAACGATCTGTTCCTTGTGAGGCTAACGCCGTTTACGCTTTCCTAATTATAGATTAATAGGTAGATTACTTCGCTCTTTCTCTTTCTCGACTTATTTTCCTACAGAAAGCGATTTCAGGGCATTATGTCACCACACTCTAGCTTCCGCGAGTTTTTGAAACAAGGGAAGATATCGAGTTCTGCGAATCATTCGTTCAAAATTCATATTCGGCAGTTGGGGGACAAATTGAGTAATGATTCTTGAGACATACACACTTATAAGAACTATCGATCTGATTCAGAGTCTCCATGGACAGTACATAATTCCCACATTTTTATCCCTTCTTGCGTTTCAGTTCTCACTATATACTCAACTCCTCAGTGAAATGCGTCCCGCGGTCCGGCACAACAAGCACAAATTCCCACTTCAGAGAAGGCCTTCCCAGTCTAGAATTTCCCCAATCGGTCGCCACATCAGAATGAGATACCTATTCATTATTAGCCCTTTCCCCTTTACAATCCAACATCTTGACATCTTAAACTTCATCTCACAACTTACTGAGAACTTGAAACAGACCCCTTTTCAATTCTTCCCATTCCTCACTTAGATTTCCCCCCTCGGCACCGATCAAAATCCTATTCCATCAATAAGACACCCAGAGCTCGGACACGAACCCAGCTTCTACGAAGGAACCAACACCTTTCTCATCAACTTTTCGTAATATCCACACCCCATTTCAAACAGAACTCCTACTCCCCCACGTCATCGATTACCATTCGGGGATAGTAAATCAGATATTAAGATTTATTTTCGCTACAGCTCAGTCTCATCCATGTCTTTATTTTACAGCGGAGAGTCATCACCATCTTGGTACACAAAGAACAGTACACAAAAACTCATCGTACACATACATCCATACACACACAAGCGCGCAATAACCGGTATCCTCACATCTATCCATCTTTCTCAAACAACCCCTCCCTCCTCTCCTCCCCTCCTTCAAACCCCAAAATTCAAGTCACCAAACCGCACTAACACCCTCTTTCTCCATCCTCTGTTCAAAAATAGCATCGGGATTTAATTTAATTAAATTCAATCCATAGAATCCGATCCCAATCCCCGGCACCACTTAGTTTTCGGCTGATTCGTAATCGGCTTCCAAGTTTATCCTATCTGGTGAGAAGGGGGGTTCTTGTGATAGATGCATGCGTGGCTTGGCTCGGATCAGCTGCGGAGGGGGCGATAGGAATGTTGGATTGTGAGGTTCTTGGGGGGAGGAGTTGGCTGAGATGGAATTTGATGGGGGAGAGGTGGAGAGGGGAGAGAGACGAAAGCGGATATCATTTTATCGAAGTCGTTATTGTCATTGTTATTGAAGAGAGAGACATATTCCGGATATTTCGGATTCAGATACTGTAATATACTGTGTTGTACTATACTGTGCCTTGAGATGGAGACGCGGTCAAGATATTTCTGTAGCTTTGAGTTGAGGTTTGAACTCGAGAATGACAATTCATCTTCATCTTCCTCCCTCACTAAACTGAACAGTAAAGAACCCAATCCAATCCAATCAAAGAAACATCAGCAGATCTAATCTATCAACAATGATTGGAAGTAGCCACCTACTACTTCCAAATCTCTATCCATAACTCACTTGAGAGGGATCATTCGTGCAAGTCAAATCAAATCGAGTCAATTATATTATTTCGTTTTCCCATCTCCATCTCCCACCTCTATCCCCAATCGCCTAATCGAATTTCAACCTCGCAAATTCTAACTTCACAAATTCCAACTTCACACATAAAAACATTCACATTCACATCAATATGAACCCTCCCGTCTTTTCAAAATCTCAAATCAAAAGAAAAAAATGCTTCCATTTTCTACTCTAATATAAACCCTAAGATCCCTCGTTTCCTTTTTTCCTTATGTCCATCCTCTTCACCACTTCTTTCCTCATCGGTAACTCTTTCATACCCCTCAGAGTCGAAAACCCAAGAAACCAAAAAAAAAACTAACTTTTATAACTGCACCGAACCCCCTAAAATTTAAGATTATTTCATTACCGACCAATCCGTTTCCAATTTCTTAATTCTCAAGAAAAACTCATGAATATATATATGACCGTCGAAAAGACTCCGAAAACCAAACTGTGCGCCTATTGCATTTTGAACCCAGAAAAGATGGTGAATTTGTTTGATTTGTTGATACAGAGAAGGAAGAAAAAATTATGAATAAATGCACCACTATAAGAAAACGCTCATGGATTTTCAAATGAGGTGAAATGGAAGTGCGTGATATGAGCGAGCACTCAAAACTATATACCCAAGATTACGCAGTTTATTCTCTTTTGGATAAGCTTCTAGGCATTTCATCATCTCAAGGTCCCCTTCCCGAACCATTTCCATACCCTGTCCCGTTTACAAATGGATTAAATCCATTGCTTCGCGGTACAGGAGGTAATGAAGGCGGCGGCACACGTCTTTGTGGTTGTGGTGGTGCAGGAAGAATCTCTTTATACTTATTATGAGGACCACCTTGAGCTTGAGGAGGACCTGCATATTGAAAGAATTGAGTTTGTTGCTGAAGCGGTTGAGGAGGAGGGGGAAGAGTCATAGGTAGAGGTGGTGGCAGAGTCATATGTGGGGGTGGAGGTACAAATGCTGGAGGCTGTCTATAAAATTCTGGCTGGGAAAAAGTGTATTGGATTTGTTGCATTGGCCTTGGAGCTGGAATCATTGGCTGCGGCAATCCCCCGCGAGGTAAAGACGCCCCGTGAAATTCGGCTGCATTGGCGAGGATATCTAAGGTTTTATTGTTGAAAGTTCTGACTGGAGATCGACGTAAATGAGGAGAATATCCAGTATCACGGACTGGATCATAACCTTGCGTTCTCTGTGCAGGCGCAGGTGTTCCAGGTATTGAAGTTGGAGGAGCTGTTGACGTTGCTCTGATTGAGGATGCTGTTGGGGGGGCGGGCTTGTTTAAGACATTTACAGCCTCCGATACAGCTTCCATCAGATCGTCGCTAATCTTGCCAATAATTTGAGGTTCGACCTTCTTCTCGATCGGACGAAGAATAGGATCACGAAGTCCAATCGCTTCTAATGATTCAGCCATCTTGAGCTGATCGCCAAGATCCGCAAATTCCCTTTCGGTACGTGCCATCCATGCGGATCGGGAAGTCTCAAATCTTGGCTTGAGTGATTCTTCATCTCGAGTTTCGACAACGAAGACAACAGGTTTAGTCTCTGCTACAGGCTTGCTCCAATCACTCCTTGTTGTAAGTGTAGGATTTATAGACCCCTTCACAGGTAAGCCCAAAGTCGGATGTAGTTTATGAGTCTCGACTATTGCCTGATCCAAATCTTCTGGTCGATTGTTCGTAGAATGATGATTTCTCACCCACGGATCATAATGAAAAGTCTTTGGTTGTGGAGAAGGATCCATTCCAATGAATGTAGGAAGATCATTCTTGTTGTACTTTTTGTAATGGTGATGACGGATACCTATTTCATCTGGGTCGAAAGTAAATGGAGGCTCGACCACTATACGATTGTTTGGTGGATCGCCATTTCTGGGTCTTGCTTTATTAGGTATGTAAACTCCAAACTTGTCAGTTTCGAGCTCATCTGCATCTTCTTGTTCGGTCAACTCGGCCGGGGTGGGAGCTGCAGAATCTCCATCCACAGTAGTGGCAAGAGACAATGAAGTCGCAGGTTGATACAAAGCCGTTTTCTTGGGTGCAACTTCACTATCATCCGGCATCATGATATCCAAAGGTTTGAATGGGGATGCAGGCAACTTTGTGGATTTCTTTCCACGACCGCCCCGCTTTTTCCCTTTCTCTTTCTCTGCTTCAGCAGCCAGCTGTGCAGCACGACCACCATTGACCCACGCATCAGCAGGGTGAACAAAAGTCTCTTCAGGAATTCTCTTGATATGTGAATGATCAAACTGGTAAATGTTAATGGAAGATGGTTAAAGAATATATCTCCTTGACTTACATCATGCTGAGAAGGACTATCAGCACCATATCGAACTTCCATTTGTTGATATTCTTCAATAAGTCTCCTCTTGATCATTAAATCATACTTCTCCTGAATCAATTCTACTCGTGTCTATACACGTGTTAGCAATGTTCAAAATCATTTATATAAAAAAAAAGACATACCTCATAGACCCCTCTAGTGTAATCCTCTCCAAACTGCCTCTGCCTCTTTGCATATTCCAATTGAATCCTACGTTGCTCTTTCAACAGCGCAACTCTCTCTTCATATCTCTCAGCCAATTGATCCATGACAATCTGATATTCTGGCAACGTCTCATGGTACTTCGGATCCTCACTCATGGCCTGTAATGATTTATCTGAGATAACATCCAGGGCGACCCGCTGCAACAACGCCACCTGTTTATACTGAGTTTTCAGCAATTGTTTCCGATGATACAAACTCTGTATCCTCGCATTACTTGATTTTTTCACTCGATGGCCACCTCTTCCACGAGTAGCTTTTCCGCCCGCCACACCCGCCAGAATCTCTACACCACCCGCCCTCGCAACGGGGATTTTCGCATTGCCATTTCTCCCAACTCTCCCTCCACCACGAATTCGACCGCGTCCACGACCTCTCCCGCGAAACCCGCCTCGAAGAGGTATGTTGGCATCGAGATCAAGATTTTCAGAGTCCATTGAACATTGAGCCAAGACGGGGTCAGCTGACGTGGAAGAAGGTGAAGATAATGGAGAAGAAGGTGGAAGATCAAGTGATGTTCGTGATTTCTTTGAAAGGGGTGGTGAATAGGGTTCTAATTCTGAAGATTTACGCTTAGAGCGCGTGGAATATGTAGGGGGTTCCATGTTGAATCTTGAGATTGTTGGCTTGTTAAAGTAATATGTTATGATGGATGGATGAATGGATGGATGGATGGAGCTTGGAAAAGTCGGAGAGTAAAGGTTACCAGCAGTGTCTAGGATTAAATCCCTAGTACCTTTTTTTTTTTCGCACTTGAAATATAAAGGGTGAAGTTGTTTTCGAGACACGATTTGACTTTCCATAAATATGTCAATGAACTACTTCTCCAACATGAGACGAGATGGCGATGTTCATGAGAGAATGAAGGAATTAATGTTGTTGTAGAAACATCAATTGAAGTATGTATGTCTTATTGTTGTACACCCATCCCATCTGCAAAAAATGCATGGATCAACAATCAAAAATGCAATGCGAGCAGTCGAGTAACATATTGCACTTGTCCCTTCTTTTGATTGGTGGACCCGCACAAAGGTTACCGTACACTCAAACATCGACTTCCTTAAACATCAACACCCTCGAAGGACGCGGCAAGCAAAGTGAGCACAGGAAAAGGATCAGCGGTTAGCGCTTGGAGAAGATGAATGTAGATACATACGGAGGTCTATGATTGTACGGAGGTCTATGATTGTGATGAACGAGTATGAGATATGAAGCTAATAAGGTAGGTAGGTACTCTTTCAAAGTGTGATATTACATGATAGGTCCCTACTAGATACCTCCAACGCCAAGATTACATAAGCCTTCGAAAATCATTCTCTCACCCCGCAAATACCTCCTATGTGTTTGATGGATGAATGACACCTCAAAAATAAAGATTAAGAACCGCTACACATTGTGCTAAACTTTGAATTTTTCGTTAATTAATCCATCCGTTTGCTGTACCCTATCTAAATAGAGTAAACTTCTCTTGATAATAAACTACGTTACATTTTTGCTATGCTATTCGAGAATTATGTAACGTAGGTATATCGTTCGTTACAATTCATTGCCCTCCGATTGTATGGAAAAAAAAAACTGCTTGCCTCCTACTACCACTCAATTTCTGCCCCACCCCTTCCCTTACATCCCCCTCCATTCCCCGGTATTACCACACGTAAATGGAAAGGCTCATTCGTCGTCATTCATTCGCTCAATGAGAAGGGAGTAAAATAGAAAAAAGTGAACCCGAGACGCGAGAATCAAAGAAAGAATATCTATTCCTCATCCTCAGGTTGCTCAAAGAGGAAGTTCGCAGCCAATTCTTCATTCTTGTCGCATGCAAAATAAGCTTGGATCGCTTGCTCTCTATTGAAACCGAGACGACATAACTACCGATTGTTAGTGGAGGGAAAAGTCAAATTCAAAAAATGGGTATTTCTTACTCTCTCAATAGCATCACGCTCCTCTGGTGTCACCTCGATGGCCTGAGCTCCTGGTGGAAGTGGCGCATCATCATCGGCATTCTCGCTCAAAAGTTGTAGAAATTGCTCTGGGTGTTGACTAATCAAAGTGGCCAATTGTGGGTTACCAGCCCCAACTTGCTGGAGAATTGGCTCGAGCATCTGAGGTTGTTGTTGAACGACTTGTCGAAGTTGTTGGAATTGAGGGTTATTTCGGAGAAAGTCGAGGTTACCGAGTCCACCAGCTGCGGCTCCAGCTCCAGCGCCTCCCAAAAGATCGGCTCCAGCTCCGGCTCGTCCACGAGCAGCACCGCCCCGATTACCAGCATTTGCGGCAGCTGCTTGGAAAAGATCGACTGGGTCATCCTCGCCACCAGCAGCGGGAGGAGATGAGGCTTGGCCAGCGGCGGGTGCAGCTGGTGTAGCTTGTCGTTGTTCTTGCAAAAGATTTTCTGGGATTCCCTAAGAAAATATTAGTAATGTTTATCACTTTTTGGACTCATATGAACCTACATTCAACAAATATTCGATAGCACGTTCCGAGTTGTAAAAGGCAGCACGCATGGCTGCTTCGATCTGTGATCTCTCGAAACCCATGCTTTCCATCTCAGCGATTTGTGCTGAGCGCTCAGCTCCCATAGCAAGACCAGTAGTCTCATTTGATGGTGTGGCTTGAGTAGCTGGGATCGAGGCACCAGCAGGAGAAGGTGTTGCTGGAACAGCGGTGTTTGGGGTACTCGAAGAATGTGCAGGCGCGGCAGGTGGAGCGGGGGTAGCAGCAGAAGCTGGAGCGGGAGTTGATGGAGCTTTAGGCGCAGAAGACGCAGCTGGTGCAGCCTTGGGCTATCTTAAGTGTTAGAAAAATGGGGAGAACATTGTTGGATAATTAGTGGATATTTACCTTTGTAATCATGCAAACGATGAACCCCTTCTCCTCGATGTGATAGGACTCTAGAGTATTCGCATCTTGTAAGATTTTACCTGAAATTGTCGTTAGCTAAATGTGCGCCAACAGTCTCTGACCAGTCATAAACATCTGCGGCCGAATGCAGAACATACCAGAGTAGATCAACTTTTGTTGCGACGCCTCCCATCCCTTCTCCTTGAAAATCTTCTCCTTGACATCAGAGACCTGTGTTGTATGTGTTAGCTACTATTCGAACGATAGATATGACGCTGCGATGAAGATAGGGTAGAATGATGTCGAAAATCGAAAATATATTGGTAACGTACAAGCTCAGTAGGCTCAGCCTCGAGGACGAATTTCTGCTGCTTTAAATCCTAAGTGCGACCAACAGTAATTAGTATAATGGACTGATAGAGCGTCGATGTTAACAGGACAAGTAACAACATACCTTGAAAGTCAACTTCATATTGGCGACTTTGAGAAATGCGACTGTGATGATGATTGAGAGAGAGCCGTGAGACTTTTTAAAGATTTTGTAAGAAAGGGTATCAAGGATGATGTTGGAAGTGACGATGAAATAGGTGGGCAAGTCTTGCTATTGAAGGAGTTGTATTGTAGTGTAATGGAGTGTAATGGCGTTGGAGTTGGAGGTTGGACTTTGTAGTTGGAGTTGGAGTTGGAGTTAGTCTACTTCTTGATAGAAAGAAGTTTGGAAGGTTAATAAAAAGGTTATCACTAGTAGGGTAGTGAGGTAGTTCGTAGTTTACTGTACGAACTCCCAAATCGCTTGCACACGGACCATGCGTAGTGGCGTGAAGTCAACGCTAAGCCAGGCTACAATCAGTCGTACATCATCTACAAAGTACGAATGAATGAATTTCCATGAAGTCTTCGATTCTTTGGAGCCCAAGGCGGTGTGCGCCAACACGATAGGATGAATCCATACAAGAGAATCATCGATACCTACGTACGTATACTCCGTACCATCAATGAATATCTAGTGTTCCATGACATAAACGTAGCAGACATTTGCACGGTTTCTGTAAATCCCCAGCTTTTATAAAAGACTCTGTTCATGCATTACCTATCTAGGTATTTATAAGCTGCAATTATGACATGTATATACAGACACTTATAAATAACATGTATCATAACAATGAACAAAGAAATCATCATACACTCACCATCAAATGCCAATTGCGGCTCAGGCAGAAAACCAAACCCAGAATCTTACATAATCATCTCTGCTTCTATTACAGGTGCGGGGTTAAACCTCTTCTTTCAGCCTCGTCTTGGCCAGATTAGACCAACCACTCGATGCAATTCAAAGGTAGCTCCCATCGTATCAACTTTATCAATACATATATGTATCTACATCCAGATGCGTAGGTTGATCATTGAGGCCGTCAATTGAGGAGATTACCTATCAATCGTCATGATTGCTATCACTACGCTATCCGGAGGAAGACCAATACAACACTACAACTACGATCATATCTTTCGTTTCTCGTTCACTATCAAAAAGACTTATTAATCAATGTCACAACCATCTACACAAACATTCACTACAAAAGTCCAAAATCAATCATCAGTTTCTTTCAGAGTCATTCATCTATTTCGTTAAAATTTAAGGTATACCTATCTAACTTGAAAAAATTAACGCCGCGCTAATACATCAAATGGTATCGGTTTCGTCATGACATTCCATTCCATTTCCACCTGAATTGAGCAAAGAAATTCGTTCAGCTTGAAGCCTGTTTTCCATGTCCTATATGGATTTTTTTCTCTTTTCTCTCTTTTTCTTCCCACATCAAATATTATTTGGAATACCCTCTCCCGATATTACAATGCTCAATACTCTGTCGTATCCGATTTTCCTACTTTACTCAACGACATTGCCTTTTTGCGATTGTACTCGGACATGCTGGTCCGTGGTCCAGCTCCTAGTATCCATTCCGGTATGGGTGGTGTCAGGCTACGCTCTCCTTCGACTTCTTCGGATATCCCCATATCTTCCTGTTCTATCGCTCGTCGGATGCTATCCAGACTGGGGTTATGCATGAGAGGAGGTAGACTCTCACTTCTTAATCGGTTTATCGAACGGATGCTGTGAACATCCGACAAGGTAATCGATCCAGCTCCCGGAGCGGCGGTTATGATGGTTTCGGCAGTTGCAGCAGGTGCTGGACTAGGAGAGTCGGATCTAAATAAAGGATGGATGTTTTCTTCCCTTGTGCCTTCAGGACTCATCCCCCCTTGCCTCGCTCGATAGAGTGATCTCTCACTCCTGATGCTCGCAGCTGGACTATAACTTCGATTTCGCGTTGGCTTGGGGGGTTCGAGGTCTAATGGGAACCCGGGGCTAGGACTTCTACTGCCAGTCGGACTAGCGGGAATTGTTTCGAGAAACCTTGGGGGACTGGATGAAGCTGATTCAATCACTTGTCTAGATTGCGCATCTACACTAGATGTGTTCCATGAGTCGAAGTCGTCCTCGGCCCTTTCAGTCGTTTCGCGATAAGTTGAGTCGAGAGAAGATGGTCGGAAATGATGACTGCGCTGGCTGTTGGAATGAATAAGTCGCGTCTTCGAAGTGATCGGGCGTACAACATGAGAAATCGATGATCGGAATGAGCCCATTGAACGTTTTGGGTCTGATCCTGATCGAGATCGTCCACTATTTGACCATTGAGTCTTCGATTCTATTGAGCAATTTCTCTCATATTCGGATCCATCGTTAAGGCTCTGGGGTTGTGATCTCTGTTGCATTTCCGAAGAGATGTGTGCTTCTGATTCGGTGATATATGGCTGAATTTGTTGATGAAAGTCTTTCCTTTGAATTACAACTAAACAAATGAGAAATACGGCTTGCGAAGCCAACGATATTGCCCAGATAACAAATCCACCCATCGTCATCGATTGCGCTGGGGAGGAAATAATTATTTTAGGAAGCAGAGACAAATTCTGCCTCATTAAGCACAATGACAGTGCTGTAGCTATTGCTGATAGTCCGGTAAAAATGGAGGTGAGTCCGGCAAAAAGATATATTCTTAGTCGTCCATTTCCACGATCTTGAATGTGGTTTTGATACTTGATTTGTCTAATTACCAGTAGCACAAGTAATGCTTCTGTGACAGCTCCAAGACCGGTCGCGACATAAGATGATACACTTGCTTTGTTTGACGTGCTGTGTTTCGAGATGGTGGCCGAGAAGATGATATTAAAAATAAGCATGACAGTCTCACTTGTCAATGCTAGAAAGCCTAAACTTAATGGTAATGCTTTCGAGTTCGACATGATGTCTATTAATGAATGAATGAAGCCGTGGCGTTACTAAAATGGTAGCATACGTAGTATGACTGATCTCAAGTGCGGCAACGAAGAGTGTAAAGCCTCCGGAGAGATGGCGATGAAAAGCGATGTTCGGAAGGCGACGTCGAAAGTGACGATATAAACGAATGACAAGACACAATTTTTACAGAGATGACTACTTCTCAATAAAGAATGACTGACGAGATAACTGAACGATGAATCGGATTCAGAAATCAGGAGGCTTCCTTCTGTTTCTTCTCCTTCACGTACTATTCATCCAGTCTTTGGCCAAGGTTGCACGTACGGCGTAATACCCAAAAGGAGTGTATGGGATGATATGTTGTGTATCCAGACCTTGTCTCAGACTGATGGTTCCGAGGCTACACAAAGTCTGACTTTAGTTACAAGCTTTCGCTTCCTCGTTTCCTCGCACCCAGTCTCTTTTCTTCGCCGATGATCTGATATGATGGATAAGAAAGATTATCTAGAAAGAAGATAATGTACCGAAAATTCCACGCAGTACGCAGGACGGGATGGTTATGTAGGTTTTTGAGTTACTTTAAAAGAATGTCGGGAAAGGTTGTGGAAGGGTGTTGTGTACGATGTAATGTACGTATCGATGTCTGATCTGTTTGCTAGGAGCGACTCTTGGTAAATAATTAATCCCAGATGGATAAATCGTGTATATGTACGTGGGAAATATTGCGGTGCAGTAAGTAGGCTTGGAAGAATCCGTGAGCATGGATTGGGTGAGCTTCGGCAACGTGCAGGATGATGATATGATATGCAGGTGGGTAGGCAGACCGGTAGGTGCAGCAAATCAATGTCGTACTCTTCTCCTTCTTCTTCTTCGTAGAATTTAATTTTGGATCTTTTTCGCTTTTTGATGGAAAGTTAAAACGTGGGATCTATTTTGGAATTTGGAGAATGGAAAAAAAGCGTGCGTGTGTGCGTGTGTGGTTGTACAAGTAAGTAGATTGTTATTTTTCGTCGTCTTCGAACTCGTCTCGTAGTCGTTGTTAGGGAAAGCAAAGGGAAGGAATTCGCATGAGATGGTAGTTCGGATTTGCGTAGATGACGGGGTGGCAGAGAGTAATATGGGTGGATATTATGAGCGAGTGGAGTTATATCTTCAAAAGAATTAATGACCAGGTTGACGGGATTTGTTGATTATAGTTTTTCTTGCGAAAATTAATATAGAATACTCTGTGGATTTCCAATACCGAGCCTGGTCCCAAGAAACCTTGCGGAAGGTTACTGGGATTATGCCGAGTAGAGTTTTTTTTTGAGGGGGCTTGGCTTAGTTTTGTATGGTTTGTTATGTACTCTGTATGTGCCTCTGTATGTATGGAGTTGCTTTTTTCTTAAAAGCACGATTATTAGGAAAGATTTTTAGATGGGGCCGGTGAGATGGAATGGAGGGATGCTCGTTTCGTCTCGGGTTTGTTTCGTTCGTAAGGCGAGGCGGGGCGGGGCGAGTGAGTGGAGTTTTATTTGGGTGGATTCTTGTAATCAATCTTCTGCCTCTTATTCTTCTTTTCTTCTGCTTATGCTTATGCTTCGTTAACTCCTGAAGGCTGGAGAATGGAGACCTTGTTTTTGTGCCTGTGCCTGGAATTGGAAGGTTGGAAGGTTGGAAAGTTTGGCGAGACGGGGACGGGGGGTTCTAGATGAAGGGGTGGAGGGTTGGTTTGATGATTTTGATTTGATGATTTGATGATTTGATGGGGTAGAAGAAAAGATTGTTAAAAAATAAAATAAGATGTTTTTTTTTGCAATGAATGGATGGATGGATAGAATAAAGGAATAATGGAGCGGTGACGTCTTCTTCGGAATTCTTGGGGATTGGTTTGCGAAGTGAAGGATGGTGGGAGTAAATAAATGAATAAATGAATGTATAACGGATGTATACGATAGTAAATGACTGAATGAACGAGTAAATGAATGAAGTTCTCCACAAAATTGTTGACTGTTTTTGTTTTGAGTTTGTGGTAGTGCCGTTGCTATGTATATGTGGTGTAAATATATCCCGGAGCTATGGAGAAATGAAATTGAAGATTGGAAATCGAAATCGAGATACTCGACGGGGAAATTCGAAGGAGGAGGAGAACTCGAAGAGAAAGGAAGAGAGAAAGGAAGGAAGAGTGAAACTCGAGGGATGACTTGGAAGACGATATAATGGTTTGGAAAAAGTAAGTGTCTCTTCTTGTTGTTGATTTTGTTTCTTTTCTTTTTTCTTTTTTGGGAGCTTCTCTCACGCGTTAGTCGGTCGGTCGGAATCGCGTGTTTTGTTATCTCCTAGGGCAGAATGAGTAGGTTGGAGGATCAATGGATACTGATATGAATATCGATATTGATATTGATGAAGGCGGTATGATATACCAAGAACCGGGATGACAGGTATTGCGAATTGAGATGAAGAGAGAGGAAGAGGATTGGATGAGGAAAGCAAGCAAATAAAAAAAATCAGGATCCTAAATTAAGAGAAAAGGAAAAGGCGGCCAAGAAATCCGGCATGCGAGTTGCGTGACGGGAAGAAGCAAATGTTTTAATGCAAGTGCAAGTGTACGTGCGAAGTTTGTCTTGCCTGTCTGGCTGGGCGGGATGGGATGGGGCTGAGCGCTCGTAAACGTGCGGGCGGCGAGGATGGAGCTTGGTTTTGCTGCGGAGAGGGTATATATGATTATGGGGTTTTAGTAATGTGAGGTTGTTGTTGATTTGGGAGGGAGACCGGGTGCGTTTTGGGTGAGAGACCAATAGGGAGACCGGACGATGATGGCTGTTGGACCAGAGGCGTTGTGGTGGAAGGTAGATGGGTAAGGAAAGGGCTTGCTGGATTGCTTGCTTGAATGTTGTACAGCGGATGTCAGATATTGATCTTCTAATGCTTGAGGATTCGGTGGTAAGAATCGTTTTCGAGTAGGTGTGTCTTGTTAGAGGAAGGTGGAGGGGTAGTTTATTTTCTGGGGATATGTGTGTGATTGTGTCGAGTTGGTGAAATTCCAATGTTTTGTGTATCGGTATCTTTCTGAAGTTCCAGAATTCCTGAGTACCCCGGATTGTATTTGTGGGAAGAATGCTGGCTGATGGTGATTCGTGATCTCAATTTAATATCAATATTGTGTATGTCGTTCAATGCATGAAGCATACGATATAAGAATATCACTTCCGGATTAGAAAATCAGATCAGATCGATGTGAGAAAGCACGAGGGGTAGGGGGAAAGACGGTGGCAGAATTTTACATTCATTATATCAATAATAGATATCAATCATAGGTATCATTACCGTCCTATTTTGAAATTCATCTGTGTGTTTACAAAATTTTCACGGTTTGTTTACTTTGCATCCGTCGACGAGGTCTGTGTGAATGCCGTAGACTGTAGTGCTCGTAGTAGTGGTTTCGTTTGTTATGTTAGGCATTAGCTCTTTGGGATTGCTGCTCTCCTCCACTTTAAGCTTAGATGCGTGTTAGTGAATGATTGAGTTTGCTTGACAAGAGTATGATCGCATGTCAGAGGAACAATGATATAATTTCCTTGTTATATGGCATAACACATTATTTATGATGATTAATGCTGCGGTGAGATACTCATTCTCTCCTCCTTATGCTCATAGAAACTTCATGCGATGAACAACTCGAGATACAAAAGGAAAGAAAAGAACTATTCATCGCAAATGCTAATGGTACGTACCTAGCATGCATTGATCTGTGCGGAGATCTAATTGGCGGTACGCACCGGAAATGTTTACGATTGGCTCAATGATTTAAAGGAGGCTTTTGAAACACGAGAGAATTTCCTCTTTTTCTGTATGGAAGCCTTAGAATTAGGGTGGTTTATCACAAAAGAGGGCTACTTCGTATGCAAGGGCTGTTCTTGAAGGCTTGTCTGGCTTCAAAGCATCTGTACCTGCATCTAGGCCGCTGCAGCTATTGAGGACAGAGCAGGGACTCAAACTAGAGAGAATGGTCATCTCTTTTGGGAATTAGACGGAAAGTATAATGATTAGTTGATGGGATGAATACCTACCGGCTAAGTATGTACTCGAGTGTAATGATAGTTGCTGCGCTTCCGAAACAACGAAACGATGAAGCCAGCTGAGAATGAGCACAGAAAAAGTTTGAACGAAATTGAAAGGGTGCTCAGATGATTGATCGACAGATATGAGAAATGCCCCGAGAGTTCTCTAACTCTACAGTCACGAAAATATCTTCGGATGGAAAACGTTCTAGCCTTTTGGTAAGTTGTAACTATCTCAAGTCTCAACTCGTACAGTCATCTAATCAGATTTTCTTCAATGAGTAACGAACTTCCATTCTAGGAAAGCGACTCGACGATTCAATGGGACTGCTCCTGAGATCGTCATCGTGTCGTGTAAGTCTCACAGGAACAGACTTCGCCGTTCAACTACAGATGGGATGAACATAAATTACTCTTACATATATTCTTCAGTAAAACCAATCCACCAATGTTGTAATGCCCGTTTCTGTCACCTTTCTCGATTGCTAATCATCAATGACAGGGAAAACTCTGTCTTCATCTGCAAGCAAAACCACCATATTTCTCCGACACACTTGGCACGGCTCCAATGTTTCTAATTAAAATATCATCATCATACTTCCAGTAATGCCAATCAATTGTTCTGGATTCTATTCTTTTCTGCACGAGAACCTTTGGATTTCATTTGTAACGAATCTTTTGACAAGGAACTTCCCTACTGATAATTCTAGGCCGTTCATCTATTCATTCTCATTCACGTTTTTCAGCCGGAAGATGGGTAAAACAAACGTGATGTCCTGGTAAAAGGGTGGACTTTGTGGAGAAAAGTTCATCTCAATCCTTTCTTCGAATCTTATTTGCAACGGGATTGCAATATAATGCTAATGGTATTGTATTTCTCGGACATCGGATCAGATTTCTTTCAAGTTTCTTCGCTTCTTAGCCGACGATCTCCAACTTCCATCTATCATCGACCGAAGATTCCGAATCTTGTTCAATATCTGTATGTGATGTGATGCAATATCTTCAATATTAACTTGCAGCCAGAGTGACATCGGCGACCCTTCCCGATAAAGAATGTTACCCCGACCATCATTTCAGCCCTGAGACCCTTGAAAGATCAAAGTCAAGGGCCCTGGACAACTTATCCTGCTACCTGTACAGAGTGGTATTCCGTCTCTAAACTCAACGCACAGGAAACTCTGGCATGTAACTCCGAATGCCCCGGGACAAACCCCATGCCAACCTTACCAGGCATCCGGCTCGAAAGAGATACAGAACAAGACCAGGCGAGAAAATTACTCGCGCATTTTCATCCATACAGTGGGATTCCATCAATCGATCGCGAATCGGTACCTACCTAGGTAGGTAGATAGGAGTGAAAATCCCCGAGCCCTAAACACTCGCTCGGGTAACACTAATGAGTGGAAATGACACGCTGAACATCAGTACCGGTGTATAATAATTTTTAATTGGAGGTCGGAAAATCTTCGTGGTTGAAGGCGAGCACAGACTTCATCCTCGAATTTGAAACAACGACGACTAGGTAAGAAACTAAAAGACCGAGGACTTAAGTCCCCTACTACTTCAAAGTTCGGACGAAAAGAGAAGGAACTCGGGATATAATAAACATTCATGAAACGAAACGATTTTTCAATCTATAGCATTATTATACTTCTATTGCGATTATACCCATGAATATTGCTACTATTCATGCTTATGCTCTCACTCATGAGTCGTCACAACGGCCCGCCCCTTTTTCTTTTCTTTCCCCTTTGAAGGCGGTTAGATCCTTTTCCCTTCATGCACTCCGTACGGAAAGTTGTATCCGTACCGTGCGTCGTGGATTTCCTTTTTTTTCCATCGCTATCGTTGTCGTTTCTTCGTTCTCTCCGTTTCTAGAATTCGTTCCGATAACCCGTTTGCCCAACTACCTTTCAGTGATTACTATTTTTACTTTCTCTTGGATGGAATGGGTTTGCATGATAGTGCGAGGGGCGTGGAAAATCGCATGACTCTTGCTTCTTCTCTTTTTGTTCTTCAATTGGGGACATTTTGACGTGCTAAGCTGAGGGCTGAGAGCTGAAGTTTTAACAATCGATTCGTTCGCTCCTACGGGGTCTATTCGTAGGGGAAGAAACAGGCCGGATTTGGCCCAATGGCATGTGCACGTGATCATAAGTTTCATCTTTCTCCTATCTGTTGTGCGTTAGATATATTGAACTAGGGCTCTCATATACAGAAGCTATAGTATTTATACAAGGAGGATCTCTCTTGTAGCTGACCCTTTCCTTCAAAAGTTCCAAAATCATATGATCATATGATCATGTGATACTTACAAGACATGTCTGTACAGCAGGGGCAAAATGCATGTCCCTTGGCAAAACACATCCGCAAAACCCTCGGCACGATGATTTCCTCTCAAACTCTAAAACACGCCCGGGGCGCCTCAATCCTTTCAGTATACACAAGACTGTCCTTCAGTATGATGAATATCTACTTCTTGCAATCTTGGATACCCTTTCGAAGACTTTCTCGGAGCTTTTCAACGCCACGCTTTGTGAGCTTGCAGCGTGGCCAGTCACCACTCTGTGAAAACAGATGTTCTCTATTTCTTTCTAAAAAATCCGGTTGGGACCATCTGCGTGTTGGCTCAAATCATTCTTCCTGACATACAGCTGGGCCAAGCTTAGTCTTAGAGGTTGGAAGGGCACTATGAGGGTAGTCGGGCGGTGTTGATTGAACAGCTCCCTATTTGTTCACGCTGTAGGAGTATAACATGATTTACGATTGACGCATCTTTTGTCAAATTCTGTGCACTTATCTTCCCACAATTCCTTATTGTTATTTGAATCTTGCACATATAACAGCAATGACATTCGTCCTTACAAGAGCTTCCACATCCAATGTATTCATATCCACTTAAGACATCAGTTTCAGATGCGTCTGCGCCATCAGTTGATTCTGCGACAAACAATAATTACACATCGAAGGCAACTCTCTTTCGGATCATTTTGAAGCTTCTAAGAATCATTACTGAGCCTAGCCTGTGAATCAGGGCGCGTTTCGAATTATGCTACTTGAGGTGGCGTAGAGATTATATCTCAGAAAGCATTTTTGGGGTCACTGATTTAAAATTATCAGTCATTGTTGTCGTGATCTCATGAATGCGCTTTTAATAGCTTAATGTCGCAATTCTTTCTATCTCTGCTTCCAACGTTATTGTGCCGGCTCGCCACTAAAGGAGTTTTCAGTTATGTAGTAGGCAATGAACAGACCTATGAACGAATTCGGTCAATTTTGAGGGATCAAGTATTTCATTGTGGAAGTTAGTGACTTTTTATGAGATCTTTGATATGCTATAGAATCAGATAAGTGTCACAACAATTGCTTCATTGTGAAGAAGGCATGTCCAGTTCGTCACTCTCAAGCCTTTTGACTCCTATGACAGATAGTCTCGCCGACCCTTAGTGGGTTTGCATCAAGGATCAAACATTGTATTCAGCCCTAATGACTGAAATACGATACACGGTTCTCTGTATGTTCTTCAATGAAATGACGGATCCCTGTTTCGATCGTTTCGTAGTCAAAATTCTTTCAGATTGAAGAGATGAAGCCGAAGCGAGAATCAATGTTCGACATCCAAAGCATGTTGGATTCAAAAAGATTGGAGAGATCCGAAGTTATCTCAGATGCTCTGTTCATCATCATCATAGTTCATAATCCGCTACTTGAAACCTCAGAGGATTATATAAAGAAAATGTTACATTAAATTGGGATGATGCCCTACAGTGAATTCCATTGCCGACCCAATATCCTGAAGCATCTGGAAATCCATATCAAGTACTTTTCGATAATCTTCGCCTTTGCGTAATATTTACGCTTAGCCAGACTTTGGGAAGTGTCGTCCATACTGAACCTATCCCAACCTTGCTCACATACGCTACACACGAAGAAATCTCATTTCGAATCTTTTACACTATCTTCATACAATACCCCGCGAATATGTCTCAAGCTCAAATCCCAGATTCCGTCTGTTCCGCGTGTGGATTAAACAGCTCCGCCAACGACACCCGGCGATGCCAGCGGCACGATGAAGATGGCATTGTATGCAATCGATTGCTACGCCGCTTTAGCCATCTAGTACAGTATATAGTATATGAACATCCTGTGAAGAAGATTCGAATACTAACGAGAGTTTAGGACTCTGCTTGCTTGGTGGGAGCGACCTGCGCTATGAGACTGTTAGACGCGATGCAAAAGTCTTGAGAGCAATTGCATTGGATGCAATAGATGGCTGAGCCAATAGTTCGTTGCAGCTTGGTACAAAATCGCATATAAACATCTTACAAAGGGGATATGAATGTTAAATTTTAGTTATCAAAGCACTATGTGGAAGCAAGTAGGCGCACGAGACGCTAGCAGCACACGGTTTGAGGAGAGTGGGGGCTGGGGTTCAGTCTGAATGGGAGCTTGTAAGTGTTTGTTTGTTTGTTTGTTCTGAAACGGATATGATAATTGGTGCAATACACAAGTTCTTAGAATCTCATGGATTAAACGAGTTGCTTCGTTTCTCTCACATTGCTGTATTTTGCGTTGTTGAATATACCTTAACTAAGAGCTTAGCAGTCATCAAGTTTACATTCAACACCAGCGTCTAGAATTTCCCTTGTGTGCCTATCTAGGTTTAGTAGAGTCAATCGTTTCTTCCTTGTTTGCATAGTCTCACAGCTGCACATTATCCCAAGTATCAGTAATCTTGTCACATTCCTAACGAAACAACGAAACGGAAGCGGATTATTCCGGAGAAGCAGATCCCAAGTTACCTGCTAGTTCAATTTCGCGATCAAAGGACAGTCACGTCTAGTCGATTGTAGGTGATGAAAGAACTAGGTAACCTCGACCAACTTCGAAGTCATCGGGTTGGTCTGTATTACCTTTGTCCGCTCGTGTCCATTCAAAACTGCATTTATCATTCACAAAGGAAACCACTAGATCAATATGTGATTCAAGTCATTCAATCGAATGTTAATCCATCTGATCTCGATTTCAATTTCGATCTCGATCCACAATCTCCATTAGTTAAAATATGGTTTGTGTTATGAAGGGATCCGTCTTTTATCGAGACGCATATTTTGCATTGAAGATCCTTTGTAAATTCGTTGTTGGCTTCGAATCGTACAACCTTTCATTCTTAAGGCCCTTGAGCTAGATGATATACCTCAAAACAGCCTGAATAGCGTGCTGTATTTCTTTATACTCTTCGTTGAGATTTTCCCATTTCTCGTGTTATTCTGCTATGAAACTCGCTATTCGTACAGTTGTGGAATGGCGACTCGAATAGCCCTTGTTCAAATAAGTTTCTTTGTAGATGTAGTCGAATTAATCAAGTCCTATGAGCGATTCCGAATGACATTACTCTCCTTGTTATCCTTATCCCACTAATCCCTTTCTTTTCATCGGTAGAGTGTTTACTTTGATGAAATGATGGTTCTGCCTTCGTGTTAGCCTTCTTACTTTGAATTCTTTCAGGGAATGTTTATATAAACCTTTGTGATTTCCATCACTTCATCTATCCTATTATCACCCACTTAAAGTTTTCACAGACGTACCAGCATAAGTATGTACATCTGTAATCTATCATATACCATTATTATCGATCAAACATGACAACAGAAGGCTCCTTGGAAGAAGAAAGCCCCTGGTTAGAAAGCCAATGGTATCCTCCACTCGACAAAGTCAAGCGGTTCTGGTATGATTGTGACAAATTCGATCCCACGTACAACTATGAAGAAAACGAAGTGAAATGGCGCATTCAAAATGGTAGCTGGCCAATGAACCAGAGTCTCAAAGAAATAGATGACGATCCGGACGCCTGGCTAATCTGCAATCTCATCTTGCGGCGGAGCCAAGGCCGATCTCCGTCTGCAGATTGGTACGATGAAAAAGACGATTCTAGCTATCATATTACGGACGCTCCTATGCCTCCGCCCAAGGCTACTTTTCATAAACGTTCAACGAGACGTTTCCGGGCCGGGGGTGACATTCCGCTCACAGGACTTCTAGATACACGTACCTGGATGACCAATTCGGCGGTATGGAGTATTGGGTACAGCGGCATTTTGAAAATGGGCTTTATCCATCTACAACATGATATCACACATCACTCCGTAACGCTGAACTGGATGAAGGGAAAACTTTCACCTGAGCAGGCTGAGAGATTTAAGATCCCCGAAGTCATACGCTATGAGGTGCAGATGAAGCGTCATATTACGTTTGAAACTCAATTATATGGTTTGAACTTTGAACAAGCATGGCCGATACTTTCGCCACAACAAAGGGAGAATGTCATAACGGCTGTGAAGGATTTTTGTTTTGAATTGTCCAAGATAAAAGGGGACAAGATTGAGAGCGTTGAAGGAAAAGGCATTATGGATCAGGTTTTGCCGGTGCATTACGAGCTTGGGGTAAGTCCCTACGACCCAGCAGGCATGCAAGCCAGCTGGGCAAGTACAGCATTGGCACCTGGATTGTCGGAGTTCTGTTTCACGCACAACGCTTTGTACCCTGATCATATTATGCTCATGGACTATCCCAATGGAGGCTATTCGGATCTACGAGTTCCAACCATTGGGCTTACAGGTTGGTCGTTGGCGGGATTTGTACCGCTAGTGTGGGTTCGTACGAAATTTGTTGTGGCTCAGCTGTACGATATGTTGCCAGTTCAAAGGTTGGATGTAAAGTTGAACTCGGGCATTCGGCCAAATGAATTACATAAATATAAGTGGAGCGCCTATAGGGGGCTGGGAAGAGCGCCATATAGTATGCCAGAGATTAGGGGCCTTTACTGGAGAGCTAATCCTATGGCCGCCCGGTTCAGGGGAACGGACTTCGTTAATGGGAGGAGTGCTCTCATGAGCTATGGAGGTGCGGACGCTGAAGCTCACATTGCGCAGGAGGAGGCAGAGGAAGAGGAGCGGATGCGGAATAGGCATGGAAAAAAATGAGTGGAGGCGGAATAGGCCCGGAGGATGACTTGGACTTCCGTCTGACTGCTATCCGTGCTAACAAGGGACAATTGCTGAGGTTAAATTTTGGTTTCACTGAATCTGATTATTTCACACATCTTCTACTATCTCGAACTGTGTTTAATTTAGTCTTGCGATTTATTCAGTATATGTTACACAATCCTTTGTAACTTGGTAAAAAACCACCTTGTGAAAATATGATCGTATTTGTCATTCTAAACATCAACGACGAAGATAACCAAGCAGTTCCGGCATCTTGTCTTTATTCCAATTCTTCCCGACAATTATATTGATAAATTGAAACCTCTCAAATCTTGAAATCGTGAAACCTCTCAAATCTTGAAATCGTTGAATCACATCTCTTTCCCGACTTTGGGGTAAGGGCTTGATGTCGTAAAGGAGACATGGTATAAAATTGATACCACCTGGAGCTTGGAATTCCATGTGCATGCGTATTTCTAGCCAGTTTGCAGTATGCAGTATGCAGTATGGCAGTACGAGGCAAGCTCAGATTTATAATGTGATTTGTTTATTATTGGTTTAGGGACTATCAATTTCAAATCTCCGGATGCCAGCTGCCTGGAGTTGGCGTCACACGATGATACTACAAATCTTTTGTGATATCGAAACAGTTAGAAGGGACCTAACTTCGAGATCCCAGTTCTGACATATGATACTCATCATCTTCCCCTTCCCCCGCCCCAACTGCCCAGAATGATTGCAGACAGGCACATTGATATTGATTCGCCATATCTTTCAAAGCCATACTCTTCACACCGATATTCGGACTACATGCACAAAGGGTGTTCGCCAAACCAGGCTGTGAGTTGAGTATGTACATCTAGGAGCATGGTGGATCACTTCTTCACGTCTGTTATCTGCGGGCTTTTGCAGACTGTTCCCGAGGAGCACCGGTGTACTTCCATATGCCAACCAAAGAATATTCACGGCAATGCATTTTTCTTACGCCGCTGTCGCCATAAGTGGCTCCTCAAAAAGCTGTGTCCCTTTGCATGAAGATATCTATTTCATTTTAAATTATCCAAGCCAGTCGATTTTGGAAGATAGGCGGGTCAACGGACAAATGCAGGAAAATTCGCCTCGTCGTTCTCGTTTTGTTGTGGTACAATAAACGTTCTACCCAGCCTTGTATTCTGTTACCATGCCTTTAAGTTTATATTTCTTTCATGATATCTCATACATATCCTTCTTACTTGGCACTTTCTTATTGAGTTCAAAGTGACGGGCAATTGAATATGACTGCCTTTCTAAGAAATGCTATTTGCTCGACATTATTGTTTGGCTTGCTTGCCAGTCCAATGACAATGCCTACAGATGCAGGTTATCCTATGATTACAGCGCCAGTTCCTCAAAATGATCTCAATCGAGCCTTAGAGCGCGACTTTAAAACATGCAACAACGATATTTGCAATTCGCCTGCTATTTGTGTTGGTCCCATCAGCAATTACGCGGCGTGCTGCTATCCGTGAGTTATCTCTTTCTCATTCGAATGAAAGTCAGAGGCTGAAACCATGAAGGGGAGAATCTTGCAGTGTGGCAACTACCTGCTATCCATACACAGAGAACCAGACCTATCTAGAATCAGTTGGTGCATCTTATTGGTGAGTTCTAACACTACCTGTGTAGATATTGAGCAATCCCTTTAACATAGGTTGATCCAGTACTGCCTCCGCCTGGCCATACTGTAATACGTATGTTTTTGATGCCTATAATGAGCTTGAGGTAATATATTGTAACGATGTAACGACGCCTGGCGACATCATAGTCGTGACCGATACATACAATTGGGGGGGTTCGTTTTCAAACCCCGGATCGCCCACTATCACGCAGTACGTGACTGTCGTATCTTCTATGAGCTCACTGGCCCCACAAACAAGTACAGCACCATCTACCTCAACAAGCACAACATCATCAACATCAACATCAACCAGCGCCATATTGGCTATTGTCACATCATCCTCCGCGGTAGCAACCACCCATCACACCCTTCCCACAGGTATCGTCATCGGAGTAGCAGTAGGTGCGACACTACTCGTTGTATCCCTAGTCACAATCGGTTTCCTTCTCTGGCGACGGCGCTCATCTTCTTCAACCACCAATATACCACAGTCATCATTAAACTCAAATCCAGAAATCCAAGTTGCATCCTACGCCTCTCCAAACCTAGACTCAAACCCACACACAAGCTGGACTTCAGCTAGAGGCAGTGAGAAATCTCCATCATATGCCTTCGAAGCGAGACGTATGGTTAACAAGCCAGATTGCCAGGTCGATGGAGTAGTTGATGAGATTAGTGAACGTCCGGCTTGTGCACCACTGGTGACCGAGATGGTGGCGCCAGTAGAGCCAGTTGTTATTAGCGAGCTTGGGGGTGAGAGTCGGAGGGAGACAGAGATGGCAGGGGAATAAATCATTGAGTTTTTTTTGCGCAGGGGTGGATTGAAGGCAAGAGATATAGGAGTATTAGAATCGTCTCCCAAAACTACCAACTGTCCCCCTGGCCCCCCAAAAATCCTCCACTAAACGCCACTTAAGATATATGTTCATCCGTCAAACTATAGAGGGACATGGTGGAAATCTATCCAAAATCCCACTATGTTTTAAAATCTAAGACTTTCAATAACAATAAATAAATAAAAGTTTCTTATACTATGCTCCTGAATTCCAAAATTCCCTTCACTACTGCAAGAAGCGATGTGCTCCCCGTTACCATTCAACGACGTTCTATAATACACATTCAGATCCCGCAATCTTCAGCTCGAATAAGAATTTCACCGAAAATAAGCTCTTCTAACGTGCTCGTGCAATGTCGAAATACACCAAAGAACATTCTCTGATAATTGAAGCCACTCAAATTCCAGAATATATTTTCCAGATTATATCTTCCAAATATATTTGAACTTCAGAATGTCATGAATTGGTTCTCTTTTGGCGACACTTCTTCAAAATGATCAATACCAGGCACATTCTTTCTCTATCATATCTGCCATCGCCGTCACCATTGCCATTTATTATCATTCTGACTTTGAATCTAATATGTTCTGACGTAAGGCATACAATATCCTCAACCAAAGAAAACACATGATCTCCCGCGAAAAGCCGATTCTAACCGCCAGATTGATAACTCACAAGATAAGAAACGAGAAGCGAGAATGATATAACAGAGAATAGACAATCAGCAGACAAGAGAATACGAACTTGAACCTCGTCGTCGCGCATACTTATGGGAGGAATCCAGAAAATCAAGGGGAGTGAAAGAGAGAAGAACAATAGCAATGGTGGTGAGATGAAAACGATGGCGAATTTGGTCAAGTGTACTCGTATCGATTGGTCAACAATGATTAGGATGGACTTTCCCAATTGAATTTAGTAATAGATGGATGTTGATGTTGATGTTGATGTTATCTTATGGATTCCCCAATCAAAGTGGTCTTTGACCCTTAAAAAGCTTAAATGGGTTGATATCAGGGTTGATATGTTAGCTGACTCGCCGACCTCTATTAGGAAAAATTATTGATTGATTGATGTTGGATTTTGGACTTTGTTGACTGCTAATAAGTAAGGACGGTAAGTAGGTAGCATATCTGTAAAATCTAGGTGAAAAGTAGAATGGTGCATTAAGTGCTAAGTACTGAGTGCTGAGTGTTAAGTCCTCAGCTACATATACTGTCATCGTCGTCGTCGAAGCTCTCTCTGTTGTCGCCTTCAGAAAGTATTGCATACTCTGTACTCATTGAAGTTAGTCAAACCTCGAATGTAAATGATTATCAAGCCAATCATTGCTCTTCCATCAATTCACTTACTCTTCTCTTATGTAATTTCAATCGATACACACATATTAGCCACCACTGGGGATCTCCCTCCTGGGCCTCCTCCCTCGAGCCCCTCTTTCCAATCCTTACAATCCCCGGTTTTAGTTACAGTTTCACGTCACGAATCACTCACAAATCACGATAAGTCGGATAAGATAAGTCCAGCAAGGTTAGCAAGATTATAAAACAAACCGAAATTCATTCTCGACCCCACTCGCTTGCAGCGGCGAGGAGAAGAGAGCGAGCTAGGTAAGCAATACTACAAAAGATATAAAACTCCTTCTCTGGCTCTTATTTTCTAGTCTCTCCCTTCCTCTCCCTTTCTTCTTTCTATTCCTTGTTTTTCTTCTCTCTCACCAATCTCCCCTCTTTCTCATCATCGCACAAACAATGGCTTCCCTAAGAGCCGCCGCCCAATTGCCTCCAATGGCTTCAAGGGCCCTTCCACGAGCTGTACGAACATACGCCACTACGAGTGTCAAACCATTCTTCACTGGTGAGCCAGAGAGACCACATATCAAGACTGCCATTCCAGGTCCAGAATCCCAAAAGGCAATTGCAGAATTGGATAAAGTGTTTGACACTAGAAGTTTGAACATGCTTGCCAATTACCAAAAGAGTTTGGGTAACTACATTTCGGATCCAGATGGAAATGTCTTGTTGGATGTGTATGTTACCATTCCCTGTTCTTTTCATAATTTCCCACGATATACTGATATCAGAATAATAGTTATGCTCAAATTGCATCCATTCCAGTTGGTTACAGCAATCCTCATCTCCTCAAAGCCGCACAATCCGAACAAATGGCATCTGCCATCATTAACCGTCCTGCCCTTGGCAATTTCCCTTCGCACGATTGGGCCGATATTCTCAAGACGGGTATCCTGAAGGTAGCACCAAAGGGTCTTGATCAGGTGTTCACTGCCATGGCAGGTTCAGATGCCAATGAGACTGCATACAAGGCTGCATTTATGTATCGCAGACAACAAGAGCGTGGTGGTGCACATGTGGAATTTTCAGAGGAAGATATTGCTTCATCTATGCTTAACCAAGCACCAGGTGCTCCTCAATTATCTATCATGTCTTTCAAGACTGCCTTCCACGGACGTCTTTTCGGTTCCCTTTCTACCACTCGCAGTAAGCCAATTCACAAGCTCGATATTCCTGCTTTCGATTGGCCACAAGCTACTTTCCCTCTTCTCAAATACCCACTTGAGGATCACGTCGTGGAGAACCAGAAGATCGAAGAAGAAGCTCTTGCCGATGTTGAACGTATCATCACCACTCACCACCTTCCGCCTTGTGCCGTCGTAGTCGAACCCATTCAATCCGAAGGAGGAGACAACCACGCCTCTCCCGCGTTCTTCCGCGGTCTCAGAGCCCTCACCAAGAAACACAACGTCCTCCTCATCGTCGACGAAGTTCAAACCGGTGTCGGCGCCACCGGTAAATTCTGGGCCCACGAACATTGGAACCTCGATACCCCTCCCGACATGGTCACTTTCTCTAAGAAGGCCCAAACCGCCGGTTACTACTTCGGAAACCCTGAGCTCCGTCCCAACAAACCATACCGTCAATTCAACACCTGGATGGGAGACCCAGCTCGTGCTATCCTTTTCCGTGCCATCATTGAGGAAATCGAACGTTTGGATTTGGTTAACAACACCGCCAAGGTTGGAGATTACCTTTACGGAGAGCTCGAACGTCTTGCCAAGCAATATCCAGGAGAGATCCAAAACCTGAGAGGTAAAGGACAAGGAACTTTCCTTGCCTTTGACAGCAACCGCAGAGATGAGGTCCTCAAGAAGGCTAAGAGTGTCGGTATCAACATTGGAGGATCCGGAGAGCGAGCCGTTCGTCTCAGACCTATGTTGATTTTCCAAGAACACCACGCCAACATCTTGTTGGAAGGTCTTGAGAAGATCTTCAAATCCTAGTTTTCCTCTAGGAGTATCGCTGTCTCACTTTTTCCCCTTTGAAAATGAGCACATTAAGCGATGATAAAAGGAACTTTGCTTTCTCACGATATCGTTTTTGATTTTTTTTAACCACCTTTTTTTGATTTTTGATTTTGGTCTTTTTTTGGACATTGGTTTTTTGCATCGGATACGGATTGATATGTAACTTAGCCTGGGTAAAATGTGCTTGGAGTTTTCAGGTTGGATCACCAACTGCGTTAATCGCGCGGTGAAGATGAGATGAAATGAGCACGCAGGTTTTTGCAGATGCATATGATCTAGATAGAATAGTATGAGGATGAGTATGAGGATGAATACAGAGATCTGACGAGGGACGAAATTTCGCCCTTGCTCAATTTTGTTTGGGTGTAGTGCGGTGCGGGTTGATGTGAAGATGTATTTCGTGTATCTATCGTGTATGTGGTGTGATGCGAATAGTGAAATGAAAGTACGGCAAAATGGTAAGTTGGCGGATGAGTTCAGAAAGATATTTACATTCAAGTATATCATATTTGTTTTTGATGAGTGTCGACGATCAACATGGTTAAATAGTAGTGAGAGATGATAGGGATAATAGGGATGATGACATGAGTGCCTAGCTGTATGTATATGTGCGAGTGAATATGAGGGAGGGTATCGTTGGTTTTATAAGAATATAATGATAGAATCAGCTATGAGGGATAGTAGTATCATAGTACCAAATTAGATACTCTATATGGGTATCCGATATCACTAATGCAAAGCATTTGGATACTCCACGATATACACAGTAAACTACAAATAGCATCGAAACATTCGAAATATGGTACATTCATTCGTTAACTATCTTACACGTAACGGTCGTTCGTTCTTCATTATTCGCATTGTAGCGTGGTGATTCCTCCGCCCCGCGGCATATTTATTCGCTCCTAGCCCAACCCTTTCCACAATTCTCCAGAATTCAGAGATTCTTAGAGCTTATCTTCTCATTTCCCTCCAATATGTATTTCCAATCCACAAGCATAAAATTCAACGCCCACTTATGATGCAAAGAAGTAAAGAATAGGCTTGGTGTATCACCGTGCGGTAGCAATTATTGTCAAATAACAAAAAAAAAAAAAACGAAGAGAACAATTTCAGCACTGCCGCTCCAAATGTCATTACAAACATGGTATCGTAGCATAAAGAAAGGGAATAAAAAGTAAAGAAAGAAAAGGAATATCGTTAGGATAAGTGGCATTACATTTGATCGTAAGGAATCGACAAATGTTATAGAACGAAAGGTATGACTTCGTTAAGGGCATAAACTCTAAAAAGAGGTCGTCCATATGAATCATAGAATCGGGAAATATGTCGTAATTTGTCGGGTAAAAAGAGGTAGATATGAATTGGTACTTCTTGTGATAGAAGTTTGGTATGCGTTGAAATATGTAGGATGGACGCTTGGAGATTGCTCATAATTGGCCAAGAGGTGTGACAGAGACAAACTTGAATGTCAGATCCTTAATTGTCCTTCGGGTTTCCCACCATATCTGTGCCTTTATATTGCATTTCCTGCTGTTCTTTATTGTTTGCTTGACCACTAGCATGCATTTGACATTCTTCAACATTGCTCTGGGCGCTAAATTGCGTCCCTTGGCCTTGGTTATCTCGAGTAATT